TTATTGTTTATATCTTCTGTTTTTACAAATGGATATAAAAATTAGACAATGGAATGTATTTAACAAAATTAGCATTAACATTAATTCCTGCAGATTCTTTGAATGAATAAAAGACAATGAGTGACTTGAAAAATATTTAAAATGAATGATAATTATCAATATCTATATTCCACAATTAAATATATCAATATATTATAATATTTTAAATACTAATATAAAATTATTGATGCTATTGAAATTCGATGTAAATTAACCTTAAATAGAAACTTCACAAATTGTTTCATAATATTAAAGCTATTTGACAATTAATAATTTTAAGTTAAAACTTAATCATCATATTGATTAATATTATCTTCTCGTTTTTACTATATTGTCCCTAAATATTATAAATTAAGAATAATGATTTATAACTAATTATTTTAAATCTCTTCAGATAATGAAAATTAATCTTTAAACAAAAATTTATATTTGACCTTTGTCTACAGAATAATACATATATTGACAATCCTTGCAAAATTAACTCATTAAATTAACTCAAAATTCCTCTTGGATAGATTGCTTAAACTCCCAATATATTAAAAACAAAACTATTCTAAAATATATTCATTAATTGAAAATAAGAGAATTTTATACTTAGAAAAAATATATAGAATTTACTATAAAATTGGCTATTGATCAATTATTAGATTTCATATAGTATTAGCAATTACATAATATAATTAGAGCTTTAATAAGGATTTGTAGGCACATAGATTTTGATTTATGCAGGATAGATAGAGACAATAAATTATAAGAATTAAATTAATATCTACACAAGTCTAGAAAAAACATATGATAAAATACTAAAGGATTAATGAGATTATCAATAAGATAATAAATTATCTAAATAATGATATTTTTAAATGAATTATAAATTAACAGAGCCTTTTAAAGGGTAGGATCTACAACCAGAAATTGTTGGGGAATTTATAACTCATAAAGGGAAAAGAAGACTTTTACATGGATTTTCTAATTCAATAATTGTTGCCAACAAGAAGAAATTTATTTCTTTAACATTCGAAACAAAATTTTAGTTATTAAGAGAATCAGTTGAAGAGAAGTTTAAAGTTGGAAAACCACTAGGATTATTGATTGAAAGAGAGAATACTGAACACAAAATAAAATTGTTTTCAGATGATCCATAACTATTGAAAAGATGGAGAGATTATTTAGCTAAACACATTAATCAAAGAGGATTTCATGAAAGTTTTAAAGCACATAGAAAAATTGGGAAAGGCAATTTTGCATCTGTTTATTTGGCTGATCGTTTAGAGGATGAAAGAGGTTTTGCTATAAAAGCATTTTCAAAAGAGGTAGCATATGGTTAGGATAAAGGAAAAGTAAAAATGTCTTATTATTATAGATGTCTATATTGAATGAAATTTCTGTTATGAGATAATTTGATAGTCATGCTTTAATAAAATTACATGAAGTATATGAAACTGAAAATTCATTATATATGGTACTTGATTTGTTGGAAGGAGGATCTCTATATGATAAAGTAAAAAATAGGCCATAGTTTAATTCATTTGAAATTGAAGTGCTTCTATTTACTTTATTGGAAGGTTTACAACATATGCATTCAAAACACATAATGCATAGAGATTTGAAACCAGAAAATATATTATTTAGAAAACCTAAGTAATCTATAAATTCTATTGAAATATTAGCAATATCTAATCTGTTTGTATAGCTGATTTTGGATTGGCTTAAAATGCTAATGAATTCCCATATTTATTTAATAGATGTGGAACACCAGGTTTTGTAGCTCCTGAAGTAGTAAATTGTAAAGATGGAGGAAGATACGATCCAATTTGTGATATATTTAGCTTAGGACTCATATTTTATATACTGTAAATTATTATAGTAATATTAATAAGATTAACTGGTAAACCTGCATTTCCAGGAAAAAGTTATAATGATGTATTAGCTAAAAATAGAAAATGTGAAATATCATTTGATGGAGCCGTATTTGAAAATGTTCCTTAATAAGCATATGATTTATTAAGAAAGATGTTAGAAAAAGACCCACATAAACGAATCACTGCTTAATAGGCTCTTGGGCATCCTTACTTTGGTAGAAGGTTGAAATAAATAGAAGAAAACGAAGAGACGAACATCAAGTTATAGGAAGAGCATTTAAAATTTGATAAATAGAGATTAAAATAGTTAAGCAATTCACCACTTCATTCACCATTAATAACTGCTTCATCAAAATTAAGAAAGGATTGTTCAAATGATAGTTTGTATTAAAATAGTCCTTTATTAAATGGTCACACTGATTAAATTGGTATTATTATTTAAATAATATTAGATTCACCATTAAATAATGGATTTAATAGTCCTTCTGCTTAAGGAAAATAATTAAATAGAGCAGATTAACAATAATAATAAAAACCTTCAAGATTCAGAGATTTTGATGGAAATAATACTAATGGTTAGGGAAATAATTCAAATTCTAATTCAAAACCTTTTAGTTTAAATTAAAATCCTTTACATAAATATGCAATTAGAAATGAAATGATTAGATAGTAATAAAATAACTAAGAATAAAAATAATGAAATCAGGAAATTTGAAAATATATTTTATCATTCTAAAATATCATTTTATATTGACATCAAATTCTAAATTTTTGTTGATAGTAGATTAATATTATTATCTTTTTTAAATTAAGAAGAGTATTTCATTTTATTAATTTATTTTTATTTATATTTTTTACAATTTATCTTTGCAATAAATATTTATTGTTATAAAACTAAGTTGAATAATAGAGAGATAAAAATATAATAGAAATTTTAATTAATATTTTTTTTTTCTACATATAAATAACAAATCCTTATAAATTAATAAATTAATGAGAAGATAATGATAATCATTTTGGTTTAAAAAACTGTAAATTGTTTAAAATAGGACTGTTAACATAATATTTTTAGAAAAATTTTAATAAAAATATAGAAGTTAATTAAAAATAAAATCTTTACAAGGATATCAAAATCACATATTCTATATTTTAAGCTAAATGATGTATAAGAAAAATAATTGATAAAATAAGCCTGTCTAGTCTTAAGTGATTACGAAATTTAGAAAATAGACATTTATAGGATGAGTTTATAAAAAGAAACATAAAAAAGTGTTGTCGTTCAACAACTAACTTTGCTTATGGATTACAAGGAATATCTAAACTTGATATATTTAACATATGAATTATTAATTAAAATGAGTGACAGTATTGATATAAATGATATTATTACTCTGAATAGGTATTTTCATTTAAATATGAAGAAACATCTATGGAACTTAATAGTAAAACAAAGAAAGCAAGATACTTTAAAAACCTGCAGATGATTCAAGTTTAACAATTGATAACATATTAAAAGGAAATCAGTATAGAAATATGTCTAAATATTAGAGCATTATATGCTCCTGTTGCAGTTAAAACAGAATAAATAAATGAAAAGATTGTTGAGGAATCAGCTGAAGAGAAAACTGATTTCTTTCAAGAAGTGTAATTATTAAGTAAAATACCTGAAATAACTTCACTTAATTCAATCTACAATTATAAGACTATTTTTAAGAATGATGGAATCCCTTATGATGAGGTAAAAAATTTAGATAAAAGTACATAATTAATCAATAGAAATAGCAAGAATCAAAAGAAAAGAAAGAGAATAAAAAGGCAGCGAAACATCAATTGCAAAGGAAGCTGTTGTTGTCAAAAAACAATATGTAAGACTCTACAAAAATTAAATTTCAAAATTATGTTTCATCACTCCAAAAAGTTTATTATTGACAAGCAAACATTTAGTAAACAATACAAAATGGGAAAAGCATTTAAATCTATAAGATTTTGGAGGATAAAGACCATCATTATCAATAGTTCAAGAAAAAACAACTGGACGCTTTTACATTTATGATAATAAATTAGGAAAGGTTCATATATATAGTTCAGATATGTTAATAAATGATAATAAGGATAAGCCACTTGTATCATTGAATTTAAATGAAGACAAGCCAAGATAAGATCCACTTCTATATTTAATTGAATGTGAACATGAATATTAATGGAAAAGTGTTTTACTTGTTATAGGTGGACATCATCTTTAAAGGGGAGAAAAGAAGCCTTTAAAAACAATAAAGGTTTTTGAAATAAAACGTAGAGAAGTGACTTTAACTCCTGTTCTTACTATTACAATGACTAAATCAAGAATGAATCCAATCGTATTTGATTTAATAAAAGATAAAGGAATTATTTGGTAAGACAAAGACAATAGAGATAAAGAAAAATTTGATCCTTAACATAGATCAGTTGATTCTAAATATATATTTTTTATGGGAGGCAATCCTCTTTTGGAATATGAAAAAGAAATAAGTTAAGAATTAATAGAAGCTAATTAAACTTGTGAATATGTGAGTCTAAAATTGGTATTAGAACATATTGCTAGAGCAAAATTAGTAATTGTAAATTTATAATTAGTTTTTTTAAACTGATTAAGCTAATTTAGGATTGAATTTTGGTAAATTTTCAATTGTTGATACTCTAACCATAAAATATTAAAACATTGTAGCTACTCAAAAGGTTTATAATCATTTTTATAATGCTTCTGTTACTAAAATGGTAGATGAAGTTTTTCAATAAAAAGGATTAATAGTAGTTGGAGGAAATACTTGTTAAACTTTTCAAATATAGACTATATCATTTAAATTAAATGAAATTACTTTAATTGGTTACAATAAATAAATTTCAAATCCTTCTCTTATTCATTCAGCAAGTAATTTAAGGTTTCTCTTTTTATTTTATAATTAGATATTTTGAAAAAAAAGTTTGGTATTTTGATGATACAAACAAAAAAGATCCTATGGTCTTGATGAATATGGATTTTAGAAGAGATATAAAAACATCATGTACTTGTTCAATCATGTGAGATTTTATAAATTACATCTTCTACATAATTTATATTATATGTTAAATTTTAAGAATATTTACAAACTATTTATTCAAGCAAAACCTACACCAAACCCAAATTTTTTGAAATTTATTCCAGATGGTAAATAAGTAATGCTTAATGGAACATATGATTTTTCAAGGCCAAGAGAAGCAAAATGTTCACCTTTGGCTTAAAAACTATTTATGATTGATGGTGTGACTAGAGTATTTTATGGAAAAGATTATATTTCTATATCTAAAAAGGAAGAAAGTAAATGGGAAGAACTAAAACCATAGATTTTTGAACAAATAATGGAACATTATTAATTAGATTAAAATGGATAAGAAAAATAATTGATCATTGATGGATTTTCAGAAAATTAAGACACTAAAGTAAACGATAATGATTCAGAAGTACATTATTTATTTAAATAGGTTATTCAATTAATTAAAGAAATCATTGACACTAGAATAAGACCTACAGTCTAAGAAGATGGAGGAGACATTGTCTTTCGAGATTTTGATGAATAAAATGGAATTGTTCATTTATATATGAAAGGTTCATGTGCAGGATGTCCTTCATCTTCTGTTACTCTCAAAAATGGAATAGAAAGAATGTTATGTCATTATGTTGCAGAAGTCAAAGAAGTTCTTGCTTAAGATTATATTGGTTCTGATTGATTAATTAAGTGATATTAATTTAAATCTATCAAATATCATTTACTTTTTATTCTTCTACATATTCATTTATTTCATCAAATTTATATATAATTATAAAAGAAATACCTTTTTAATTATAAACAATTTTCTTTTTTATTTTAACAACAATTAAATAACTTGTCTCACAGTATCGTAATGTTTTTTATATTGAAGTTATGCTTATAAGTTAGGTGTACTTTATATAGTGGTATAGAGTATTTAAATCAAGAAATTTATTTCTGGTAATTTTTGATAAAAGAAATTTATATCTAGAAATTAATTTTTTTATAAAGGATTAATGTAATTTATTATTTCTGTTTTAAATTATTTATAGATAATCAAATGACATTTTAAAACATTACTTATATTATTCTTTCTTATCATAAAGATTAGAATTTTTTCTTTAGAATAAGGTTTCAGTAGTGCATTGACTAAAACAACAAATTCTAAAAAATATATTTATTTTAAATGCCTCTATCTTCAACTAAATATTATTATCCGTAATTATTTGGATATATCTCTATATAAATTCAAGTAAACATTTTTGTTACTTTTATTTGAGCGTATTTAAAACACAAAATAAATAGTAGTTTTATATTTTGATATATTCTGTATTCTGATCTATATTTCTCCTGCAAAAATATACCTGCTACTTCCTTAATTATTCAATAAAACTCTTCGCTTGATATTTGTAAATATTTCAAAAGAATATAATTAATTTTTCTTTATACTTATATATGAAAATATGTAACCTTTGAAGAAGAATAGATTTCAAATTAAAAAACAGCAATTTTAAAATATAGTAGTCGTATTGAAGATAATTTTTTATGAATTTATAAATATAAACATTTTAGAACTCTTATTTATTAGATTTGTAAATTTTTTCATCAATCCAAATAGTTTTGGAACCTTTATATTAACAAATTGATTAATCAAATATCTTATTTAACTGATTATTTAAAAATAATTACAATACCCTCATATTTAAATATATTTGTGATTATTATAGAAGGAAATATATAATATATGTATAGTCATATTAAAAATAGTTGATGGAAGTTAATATATTTTTTAGGAAATATTCCAAAAGAAAAATTAATTGTTTTGTATTTATGTAACCATTTTAAATTTTATTTTTAAATTTTTTAATAATTTTTAGGATTTCTGAAAATTCTCATGAGTTACAGCAGTCCAGAAAAAAAGCAAGAAGAATTAGAAATGACTTCATAATAAAAAGATAATGGAATCAATAATTAAATACTTACTGTTTTAAATGATTAGTAGGAGGAGGCTTAGCAAGAATAATAACCATTAAATATGTAGGATGGATAAGATGAACCTTCAATGTTGACAATTCCTGAGGAAGAAGAAGATAAATTTTATCCCTATTATCATGGTGAGAAAAGTTGGATAATATCAAAGTTTTTTTTCTTACATCTGACAGAATATTCATTATTTTTAAAGAGAAATGTATTAGACAAAGGACATAAAATTCTCGAAAAACACCTACCAAAATTATCACCTTGGGAAGATTTAAAAGAATCTGTGGAAGTTTCATAAAAAACAGTGAAATAAAAAAAAAAAATTTCTTGTGGTGATTTAGTGAAAATTATATTTTTTGGTTAATTAAAGTGGATAAGTTTAGGATGTTTTTTCTCATATAGTTTAGAAGCTCTTGTAAGAAATGGCGTATCAATAGTAATGAGCAAAGTAATTACAAGTGCTGCAAATAATGAAAGAGATAATGCATATGGATTTGCTACATTGTTGGTGTTTCTAAATTTATTATGTGTTTTTACAAGACATCATGGTTATAACTTAGCTATGATTTTTTCATCAAAAGCAAGAATGACACTTATAAATTTAGTCTACATAAAATTAACAGAATTAAGTGCCTACTCCATAAAAGAGGCAAATATAGGTAAAATATTAAATTTAGTTTCTGGTGATATAAATTATCTTGAATTCGTACTTATTATGATATTCTAAAGCAGTGTATGTTTTATATCTATGATTTTTGGATGCTACATTTTATGGGATAGATTTAGTGGACCTATTGGAATGATTGCACTTGCTATTATATTTGTAGCCTATCCTATTTAAATATTACTCTAATCTTTTAATTCTGAGACTCTTAAAACTTCTAAGTAATATTAAGATTAAAGATTAAAATTAACTAATGAACTTATTGAAGGTGTTAGACTTATTAAAATGTATGCTTGGGAATTAGCTTTTAATAAAATGATATCAATAATGAGATAAAAAGAGTATATATGTTTATTAAAAATCAGTTTTAGATCAGCTATTGATAGATTATTTAGTTTAATTTCTTAAGTTTGGTCTAGTTTTATTTTCTTTGTTATTTTATATTATGGAGGTTTCAGACAAACTATGACTGTAGCTGAAATGATTTCAACAATTCAATTACTTACATTTTTTAAAATAAGTTGTGTTTTTATGGTTTCATATGGAATTTAATCAGTAATCCATATTAAAGTATCATTTACAAGAATAGCAACTATTTTAAATATAGAAAATTCAGAAATGACAAGTTTAGATTAGATTTTATTGAAATCAGATAATAATACTTAATCCAAAGAATATAATGGTCCAAGAATTTAACTTAAAAATTTTACTTCATTTTGGATAAGCAAAGTTACTGAGACTACAAAACCAGTTCTTAAAAATTTAACATTAGATATATAAGCTGGAGAGGCTTGGGCTTTTATTGGAAGAATTGGTTGTGGAAAATCAACTCTTCTGAGTGCCTTTCTACATGAAATTCCTGCATATAAAGGATCATTCAAAATTGATGGTTAAGAAGCCAATAAAGGTGTTTTAACTATTGCATATGTTGAATAAGAACCATTTATTTTTCCAGATACTATTAAAAGAAATATCTTGTTTGGTAGATCATATGATAAAGTTTTGTATTAAAAAGTGTTGCATGCTTCTTAATTAGAAGCAGATTTATCTTTGATGAAATTTTAAGATCATACAGAAATTGGAGAAAGAGGTACAACTTTATCTGGTGGTTAAAAGGCTCGTTTATCTTTGGCTAGAGCTTTATATTAATAGGCTGACCTATATTTATTTGATGATCCTTTGTCTGCTGTTGATGCAAGTGTAGCCAAAAATATATTTCATATGGCTATCAAAGAATTCATTTTTGATTATTAAATATAAAGAAATCCATCAAAGAAAAAACCAATTGTTATTTTGGTTACACATTAGGTATAATATGCTGTTGAATGTGATAAAATTGCAATATTAAATGATGGAGAATTAATTGCTTAAGGTTCTTATGAGGATATTAAATCAAATTTATATATGATAAATGAAGAATTAGCCCAATAATTAAACAACACTAAAGAATCAAAAAAATAAGAATTCATTAGACCATAATTTTAGAAGAGAATAAAAATGAGAAATTCTGTTGCTAATAACCTTATAGGTAAAGAAGCTGATTAACAATCATTGATTACCTTAAAAACATATTTTAGATACTATAAATTTTGGAATTTAATTATCATTTTATGCGTTTTAAGCTTAGAAGCTGGTTCAGAAGTTCTTAATAATTTCTATTAGAGAATTATTTCCCTTTTTGAAGAATATTAATAAGAAAATGATATAGATACTGCTTACTTTCTTTTAGGGATGTTAACTTTAGGGCTTTTCCTTTCTAATTTTATTAAATATGCTTTAAATACATATTCAGTTTAAACATCCACTTAGAAAATACATTAGTAAATGCTTAAATCTTTAACTTTAGCCCCAGTTTCATATTTTGATGTAAATCCTTCTGGAAGAATTATTAATAGATTTTCAAATGATTTATCTTTGTGTGATAATTAAACAAACTCTGTTAGTTTAGATGTTTTGGAAATTATTGGGGGTTTTATATTTGCTCTTATAACGTTGGCTATCTTATAACCATACTTTTTAATTATGATTGTTTTTATTATCGCTGTCGATATTTATTAGTTTAGCTATGCAAAGAAGATAATTAGTTAACTTAAAGAGGTTGAATTAATGTAAAGAAGCCCTTTATTTGATTTTTTAAAGAAAACTTTAGGAGGTGTCATCTAAGTTAGAGTTTATGAATAACAGGCATGGTTCAGAAAATAATTTTTAGAGATTTCAAATAAATGTAATCTTAATGCCCTAACATATTATTATTCTTCAAGATCTTTTGGTTTTAATTTGGATCTAGTAGGATTTATAGCTTAGACAGTAGGAATATTTATTTTTGTAAAATTAAATTATGATGATGTTGCAATTTTGTCTTAAGGATTATTACTTTTGACTACCTATAATGATGCTTTATAATGGGGATTAAGGCAATTAATTACTTTTGAGACTTAAATGAATTCATATAACAGAATGTTTTAAATTATTGATATATTACCAGAGGCACCTCATGTAAAAGAAGAAGATTCAAAATATCCAGATTTTCCAAAAGATGGTAGAGTTAAATTTGATAATGTTTTTATGAGATATAGATAAAATTGTGATTTAGTATTAAAAGGATTGTCATTTGATATTTAAAGTGGTTAAAAGATAGGTTGTGTTGGAAGAACAGGAGCAGGAAAATCTTCAATTTTATAAGCAATTTTTAGAATGTCAGAGATTGAAAATGATAAAGAATCAAAATTAATAATTTCAGATTTAGATGTTAGAAAATTAGGATTACATAAATTAAGAAGTAATATTGGAATCATTCCTTAATCACCTTTCTTATTTACAGGAACTATAAGACGAAATTTAGATCCTTTTGATAATTTTACTGATGAATAATTATGGAAGGCTCTAGAATAAACAGATCTTATCAATCATGTAAAAGCATTTTAAAATGGTCTTTTAACAGATATGAGTGATGTAAATTCAGTATTTTCAGTTGGTTAAAAATAATTAATTTGTTTAGCTAGAATAATTCTTTTCTAAAAGAAAATTATTGTTTTAGATGAGGCAACTGCAAATGTTGATATGAAAACAGATGATTTTATTTAGGAAACCTTAAAAAAGAAATTTACAGATTGTACTTTAATAACAATTGCACATAGATTAAACACAATTGCTGATTATGATAAAGTTATGGTAGTAAGTGAAGGATAAGTCATTGAATTTGATACTCCTTTTAATTTATTAGCTAATTCAATTAATTCAACCTTTGTAGATAAAAATACAGAATTCTCTAGACTGGTTAAGAATACTGGTGATTAAAATGCTTAAGCAATTTTTGATATTGCTAAATAAAAGCATATCAAAATATGATTTTTATTTATATCTAGTAAATAACAATTTATTTTATTATATCTGAAGTCTAAGATAAAAACAAACAATATAAATTATATTGTTTTATTGGTTATTCTTAATTTATTCAATACATTAATTATGATTACAATCATATTGATTATTCATATTTTTATTAATTCATTCTTTATTAATAAGTATTTGATATATAATATATAATTTAAACTATGAAATATTTTATCTTATTTTAAATAATAATTTACAATAGAATATAAAGATAACTTAAATAGAAGAATTATGTAGATTAATTATAACTTTTATTTAATATGATATTAACGTTTTTTATATTTATAATAATGTATGATCATTATTATCCTTTATATTATTATCTCCAATTTTCGATTTCTTCTGGTTTGACTAAATATAATTAATATTAATAAAATACATTCTCTAAAAATAGGTACTGGTTAATTGATTGGTTATCCTGGTTTGACAAGATTTAAAAGGGCAGATATATTATTATCATAGGATAATACATGTTCAAATAGTTTGTCATCCTTTTCTGTTCTTTAATTAAAGCCCAAAGTGAAATTAATCTTAGCAGAAACAGCAGGCATGAATGGTTCAACTAAAGCACTAACAAATCTAATAGCATTAGCAGCAACAAATAATATAACATCTGATCTTTTTGATTCTTTTTGTTCTTTTTCCCATGCTTTTTCATCTTGAATGTATTTATTAACAAGACTGCTTAATTCCATAGCTTTTCTAAGTGCCTCTTTAATTTCAACATTTTCAAAAGCTTCTAAATATTCAGTTCTAAATTTATTCAAAAATAAATTAATAAATTCTTCATCTTTAACAGTCAATTAATTCAATTCAACTTATGGAATTGCTTTATTATAATTTTTATAGATGAAATTTAGAGCACGATTAACAAGATTACCAAGATTAGGTAATAATTCATTATTATTTTTATTAGCAAAATCATTCCAAGTAAATACAGTATCACTTTTTTCTGGACGATTTGTTAATAAATAATATCTAAAGATTTCATTTGGAATTTAAGTATTTTAAGCATTATCACCAAAAACTCCTGTTCCTCTAGATTTTGAAAATTTGCCATCTTCATAATTTAAATACTCTGTTGTAGAGATAGTTTTTAAAAGAGTATAATCTTAACCAGTTCCCATCAAAGTAGATGGGAAAATAACTGTATGAAATGGTACATTATCTTTACCCATAAATTAAAATAATTCAACATTATCTGGATTCATCCACCATTATTTCCAATCTTTAATAAAATTAGCTGTAATGCTTAGATAACCAATTGGTGCATCAAACCAAACATAAAATACTTTATCTTTATATTCTTCTAATGGTACTTAAACACCCCATTTAAGATCTCTTGTTATACATCTTTCTTTCAATCCTAATTTCAACCAGGCTTTTGATACATTATAAGAATTTTAAGACCAAAGTCCAGTTTTGGATGTGGAATGAATCCATGTTTCAAGTCTTTCTTAAATTTCAGGTAAATTAATGTAAATATGTTTAGTATCTTTAATTTCAGGTTTATTTTTGCAGATATAACATTTTGAATTGATTAATTCAACTGGATCAAGTAATTTACCACAAGAATCACATTAATCACCTCTAGCATCTTCATATTAACAATGTGGACAAGTTCCACTTACATATCTGTCAGCCAAATACATCTTACATTGTGAACAATATGTTTATGGAGTAGTTTTTTAAGTTGTGTATTTTGGATGTAAATGATTGAATATATCTTAAGTAATCTCAGTATGAACAGGAGTTGATGTTCTACCGAAATAATCAAAATCGATATCAAACCAATCATAAACATTTTTATGAATCTCAAAGAATTTACTACAAATTTGTTAAGGAGTCATATTTTCTTAAATAGCTTTAACTTCTGTAGCTGTTCCATATTCATCTGTTCCACAAATGTAAAGTGTATTATATCCTCTTAATCTTGAATACCTAGCAAATGTATCTGCACTTAAAACACAGCCTATTATATTTCCTAAATGAGGAACATTATTCACATATGGCAAGGCACTTGTAATTAAAACATTTCTTTTTCCTTTTTGAGGTAGAATCTATTAACCTAAATTTGTTCTAACAATCTTTTAAGCAGAAAATTATTTCAAATAATCTTATGGTATTTCTTCTTTTTATTTTGTACCTTTTTCTTTTTATTATTTTTATTATTATTATTATTATTATTATTATTATTATTATTATTATTATTATTATTATTATGGTAATTCTTATTTTTAATTTCCTTTCTTTTAATCACCTTTTGTATCCTTCTTTGCATTTTAATGCTATTCTATTCTTTTTTTAATTTCTTCTTCCTTCTTTTTTTTTTCCTCCTCTATAGCGGCAATCTAAGGTTTAAATTCCTAATAAATTTAATTTAAAATCTTTTACATTCTCCATAGAATTTAATATTGGATCAACTACAGCACCAACCGTATTTTACCATTTTAATAATTTACCCTAAGTTTTCACTTCTGGTTTAACTCTTTTTAATTTGATGTAAGCTATGATATCTGTTTCTGATAATTCTTCTCCTTCTAAATACTTTGATTATTCTAATATTTTATTTAAAGTCTTTATATTTTCTGTCTTAACTTATTTCTTTTTCTCAACAACTCCCTAATTAATTTAATTAATTAATTTACATCATTCTTTTTTATTTATATTACTTCTTTGAGTTAGTGTGCCACCCACCATAATCTCTCATTTTAATAAGGATTTCTTTTCACTTTACTCAAATAATTAATAATTGAATAATTTCCATATACAGATTCATTTTCATTAATTTAAAGTGTGTCACAGCATTTACCTTATTTATTAACATGATTCTTACTAAAATCTAATTTCACTTAGATCTTGTTTTCTAAATGCAAAATTTTAAGAATACTTAACACAGATAATGTCTTTCCACTTAATTTCTTAAAAGCAAAAATCATTAATTTAAAAAATAATTTAATTCTTTCTCAAAAATATCATTTATAATAGAAAATCATATTTATGAAACTAAATTGTAAAAATATATATTTGATATAATTATTGCTCACCATAAGACACAGAAAAATGCCGTGATTGTTCTAAGTGTATTCCAAAAGTTAAATTGATCTTCATTATTTATAAATAAATTTTAATTTATTCCGATAATTTACTATGAAGCATAGAAAGCGAAAATTGACTCTAAGTTTGGCTAGTAAATCGAAAAATCTGTAATCAATAATTACTTTTATTTTAACTCTACTTGTAAGTATTAAAAGAGATTAGATAACTTGAAATAACCTGATGGAATTTAGTATGACAAATAGCTAATATATATATTAAAAAATAAGATACTTATCACGGTATTCAAAAATAGGTTATAGTTGGAATTATTGCGAAAGTTATAAACATATAGTTTAATGCACTTATTCTTTTCTTCCTTCATTACATTTCACACTAAATCTGGCTTATTCTCCTAATTGAGCTCTTAATTCATTTAAAGTTCCTTAAGTAATCATATATCCATTGACCATGATACCAATTTTATTACAAATACTTTACGCTTCTTATAATGAATGAGTAGTCAAAAGAACTGAAGCATCATTGTTTATGGTTGATTATAGTAATATCTATTGAATAATCCTTCTAGATTTTGGATCTAATCCTGTTGTAGGTTCATCCATGAACAACCTATTAGATCCTCCAATCAATGCTATTCCTAATTATACCTTTCTTCTTTCCCCTCCACTTAAGAATTTGACTTGTCTATTTTTAATTTCATACATATCAAGAGCCTTCAGGTATTTTTCAATTGCTTCTTATAAATTCTCTTAACCTTTCAAAGTCCCATAGATAATGAGATGTTAATAAATTGTTAAAGTAGGATAGAATGGGCAAAATTATGGAACTAGTCCAAGATTAGTTTTAATATCTCTAATTCTTACTTAACCTGTAGTAGGTTGATCAAATTTGCTAATCATATTAAAAGTAGTAGATTTTCCAGCACCATTTGGTCCTAGCAATCCAAATATTTCTTTAGATTTAATTTAGAATGACAATTTGTGAACAGTCTCTAATTCTCCTTATTTTTTGGTTAGTTCTTAAACATCAATAACCGCATCTGTATCATCCATATTTGCTTGAATTTACTTATATTCATTCTTGTCAATTGAATATAAGATTAAAAAATATATAGTCCCTCCAATAATAAGATATAGAATGCATGAAAAGTAACTAAAAATGGCTAAATTCAATAAAATAGGACTCATAGCAAAACCCATATAACAAGCTGCAAATGGCGATATAATCATTAATAACATTGCAATCATATTTACACCTATAGGAGACTGTGGTTAAATAATGAAAAGCATTATAATGAAAAAGAGTAGGAAGAATACAAAAAATTATAGCAATGGAGAATTTACATAAACTCCCTGTTTATTTTTATATAATATTGACACCCAATTAGCAAAGCAACTCATTGAGACTCCAAATATAGTAATTAAAAAGAAAACTGCAAAAAAATGTTACCTAAAATGTCCAACATCATAGATTAATAAAAGGATTGTTGTAAATAAACTTTCAATAAAAGATGGAATTATATCAGTTAAAACATTACTCAACCAGTATGTATGTATCTATACTCCACTTGCATACATATATTATTTAATTTTGGTGTCTTTATCTTCTATTTGAATCATTACATATAAAGTAGATGTAAGAGCTTTAATTCCTAAGTAAAAAAATACAAATAAAAAGGAATGCTACATACCAAGTATAACGGCTAAATAGATCAATGATAATGGAAATACATATCTCATTTATTTATCAGAAGAACTCAATAATACTAATAATTTTCTTTAAATTAAACCAATCAATTAAGATTTGAAACCTATTTTGGGTCTTTATTGAAACACTCTTTGAACATCCAAATCAATATTTTATGTTCCATATTAATAATCAATTGCAAGATATGAATCTTCTAAAGAGTTTAATTAAAGTGAAAATTTGCTTTATGAATTCTATTCTAAATAATTTAAAAGTTCATGAAATAAATGAATTTTATTAACTGGTAATACACTTTTAAGAGATGTAGGAGCACATTAAATAACTGATGTATAACTATCAATTTTTTAGAGTTAAACTTATATTCTAGGTTTCTCTAATAATAATTAATTTTAATCCTAAAAGTCCATTTGTAAATGGTAACCAACTCCAAAATTAAGTTTAATAAAATCAGGAGTACCTTAAGTTACAATTTATCCATTCATTAAAATTCCAACTCTAGTTGCTAATTCATCAGCCTCTTCCATGTGATGAGTAGTCATTATGATTGCACGATTTAATCTCATTTATTTAATCACAACCCAAATTTATTATCTTGTTAATGCATCCATACCTGAAGATGGTTCATCTAAAAATACAATTTTTGAATTTCCAATTAGAGATATAGCCAAACATAATTTTCTCTTATTTCCACCACTTAATTGGTATGAATAAAAATTAGATTCATTTGTTAATAAACAAATTTCTAAAATTTAATTTATTTATTATTATAATTCTTAATCTAAAATACCTCTTAATTATCCATAAAATTTTAAATGTTCATAAACATTTAATTCTGGATATAAGATATCTTTTTATAAACAAATTCCAATTTGATTTTTAAATTATTTATTATCTATACTTTATCCTAATATATTTATTTTTCCTTTAGATCTATCTGAAAGACCAGATAATACATTCATTAATGTAGATTTACCTGCTCCATTTGGACCTAATAAACAATAAATTTCATTCTAATAAATCTCCATATTGAGTGATTTGAGAATATATTGATTATCAATCTTTTTCCACATATTTTCTACTTATATAAATGGTTATCCTTAATTTTCTATTTGTTAATCTTAAATATTTAACATTGGTCTGTAAAGTTAGTATGGTTCAACATCTTGATTATTAGGACTTTGATTTAATTCATCTTCAAAATCAGTATAAATTTAAGTGTTTTATTTGCAATAATTACATAAGAAAAACAATTTTTTGGAACCACTCAATACTTAATCAAAATACATAAAACCCAAAGTATAACCAATTATCTAAAATATTAAACAAATGATATATATTCCAGGATTTAAGAACATTTGATCATTATTTATTAACCAATTTGAGCTTAATAATAGCATTTGGAATGCTGTTTAAGGTATAAATAATGTAGGTAATTGACCAAGAAATGTTAATTTAGGATATGGGGCAAAATTTGATATTACAACAAAAGTTAAAATTACATTTAATAGACCTATAAGTTCACTAGCTTTATTATAATTCTTAGAGAATGAACTTAAAAATAATGCCAAGGATGCAATTGCACAACAATATAAAATTTATCCTAAAATTAACATTTCAATTCTTAAATATCCATCACCTACTTTATTGAGTCTAAATACTATAAAAGGTATTAAATAAATTAGAGAAACACAAATTGTCAAGACAAAAAATGTTATTATCCATGATGCATAATAAGCATTTGAACTTAATCCCATCTATTATTATAACAATTTAAATTAATCACTCTTCTCTCTAACTATTAATACTAATGATTATCGTAAAACTCCATTATTATTTAAGCAAATAAAAAGTAATAAAAAATAACATGTTACATTATCTTTGTAAGCAACAAGTATTGATATAATTGCACTTAAAATAGGAATATATAGATTAAACCAAAATTATTTTGTTCTGAAATGTAAAGTAAAGTTCTTTCTTAATAAGGTCTTAAGTTAATTCATCTGGTTTATTTAATAATTATTATATTATTATTTTATATAATAATTTATAGCACCATATAGAACCTATTTGCACATGGACGTGATTTAATAATCTTAATAATTACTATATTCTTATACTTATTATAGTTTTATTAATATTCTGATTGTAATTAATCAATTTATTTATAATTTTAGTATAAATTATTATCACATCATTTAACAAAATAAAAATAATACTTCTAATTAATCTTTTGATAGCAAATCATTTTAAATAATTGTAAATCTATATCTTTTTGAAAACAAATATTTTTATTTCAAAATAATTAATATTTACATTTATATATACGGATAAATAATTAAAATTATTAGGATATTATAATTCATTTTTTTCATTGAAAATTCATATTATATTTATTATAAATAGATATTTAAATAATATAAACAAATTTGATTTATTTATATATATATTTTAGTTATTTATTAATAGATTTTCATCAAATAATATTTGAAATCTACTTAGATTAATAGAGTTCAATAGATTTACAAACAATTTGATACTATTTAGTAAAATATTTATATTTAAGATTGTAAATCTAAAATAGAAATCAAATAAACAAAATTTTGAAAAAGATAATAAGAAATATGACAATTTAGATAAATCCATGATATATGGATAATATTTATAGATTGATATCATTCATCTCCTTTCATTTTGGGTGCAGCTGATATTTCTGCATTATCATATGGGAAATAGAATGTTGACATATTATCTCTGAAAGTCCATAAATTGTATTCTGGAACAATATCATATCTAAATTTGTATAAGGTACTCTTATAACATCCAGATTTTTTAATTTTCTATAATTAATTAGATATGTACTCTAACAGCAGTTTCGATATCTTTTGTTGAATATTTACCATTTTTTAAATCTGATAAAAAGGGTACATTCTTACATCTGATTCCTTCATTAACAATAGCAACCCTGTTCTATTTAGATGGTGTACCAACAGCCCCAACAACAAAGTCATTCATTCCATAATAAATAATAAAGTCCCATTTTTTCAAATCTCCTTCAATATGAATTTCATCAAATTATGGCCATGAACTTGTCTATTATAAAACCTTTCCAAATTGTTCAGTGTAAGTAAAAGGAATTTAATGCCAAGGAACATTAAGTGCCAACATATTATATGCTGCAGTTATTCCTTAATTATAGCATGCTTACCATTGATCACCTATATGACCTGTACCATTAGTATAATAATAAGTATTAGCACAACTACCTGCTGCAAAAATTCTTTTAATATCAGTTCTCTAGAAGTAATCTACTTTTACTCTTCCTGCAGTATCAAATTCAAATTAATGATCACTTACTTCTGCAAATTCTGTTTTTGGTGCTACAGTACTTGGGAATAATATCACAGCATCAGATTTTAATTTCTTATTTCCTTTAAAGATAATGGAATCTTTTTCAAATTTCTTGATTTTAATATTTTCATAGACATTAATTCCTTTTTCTACATGTAAATCTAAAACAAGGTTTGTAAGATCAGGACCATATTAAACTTAGAATTGACTTTCATCGTTTGGATCAATAATATTAATTTTAATATTAGGATATTCTTAACGAATAGTTTATGCCACTTCTAATGACATAGTATTAATACCTATGATAGACTATAATAAAAAGACCAAAATACCAGATCATTTATAGTTTTAAGTTTTTCTTTTAATTATTAATGTGAGTCGAGGGAATTGAAATAAAAAACTGGTTGATTCTCAATTCCTTTAATTGGAGGATGAACAGGATCTGTACCAGTTGCTATTAATATAGTGTCATAAGCAATCTTATTACTGTCATCTAATTCTACATAAGTATTGCTATGTTTATTATTCACATAAGAAATTCTTCTGCCTAAATGAGCATCTACTGCTATAGCTTAATACCATTTATCTTTTCTAAAAAAGAAATCTTCAGGTTTAGTAGCTTTGATTCTTTTACTCATTTTAGTTTTATCATATGGCATATAATTTTCATTTGATACATATGATAACTCTCCTGTATAACCAAATTCTCTCAAAGTTGTTAGACAAGCAAATGCAGCAGCTCCTCCTCCATAGATTATTACTTTTCTTTGATCATTATAATCTCTGAAATGATATTATGGAATTATCTTTTTAGGTACAATTAGAGGAGCATAAACTTCAATTGAGTCTTAATTTTCTTTTACTCCAAATTTAGGTAAATTATCAATAGATGGAGGTCCTTCAACCATACCATTTGTAATATCGAATTAGCATCCATGTTTTGGACAATATAATTTATCACCAAAACATATTCCTTCTGATAAATCTGTTTCCAGATCATATGGACACAAACTACCAAAAGCATATATTTTTCCTTAATATCTAGTTAAAATAATTTAATAATCTTCATCTCCATTCTATATAACAAATGGCATTAATTCTCCTTCTTTTGGTTTCTTGAAACTTGTATATGTGATTAATTGAGTATTGTTATAATCTAGCATTTAAGCTGTCTAAATTATTCCTTTCTTCTATTCTTCAGTTAGATCACTCTACAACTTGCAGCTACTTCGAATACCTTTACTAGCAAAGAGAAATATGGGAATTAATTTCAATATTCTCCTCCTCATTTAAAATTTAATAAAATTGTTTTTTGATATTGAATATATTTTATTTAGTGTATAAAAATAAATTTTCTATTATTTATATAATTCAAAACTATTTTCATCCTCTAATTCTTATAAATCACTACTTTTATGACAATTTTGATTTTAAATCTTCTATTAAAATTAAATTAATAGATAAATCTAATTCATTTTAAAAAGTAAACAATAAATATATAAAATATTAGCTACTAATAATTAAATTCATTTAAGGCATTCAAATTGTTGTGTAAATAAAATTAATTTATATATAAGCATTAATTAATCTTAACTAAAGAATATTAAAATCTAATCCTTATTAAAGTCTTATATTTTTAGATATTTATATAGTTATATATTAAATAATGGTTAATAATAATGTATATTTAAGATGATTTTAATGAGTTCTAAATAAAATTTGAATTTTTCAAAATAATGATTTGATTTCTACACAAAATAATTCTTTTTTACAATAATGAATATTTAGTTTATGTAAACACCAATATCTTCATGATAAAAGAATCAGAATGGGTTTTTATTTTCATTAGAATATGTATGTTAATTAATAAATAATATATTAAAATCAATGATATAAGATTCTTTATTTGCTGAATCCTTTTGGTATCCAATTTCACTTGATTCATTTTCAAATGATGACGATTATAATGTATAAATTTAGATTTCCTTTAATATAGGTGTTTTAACTATACTAAGGAAACACCTCAGTACAAATAAGAGTCATCTAAGGGTAATTATTAGCCAGTAGTTAATAAATGGATTTATTACAAACATTCATTACATTAGATGAGAAAGGAGTGACACTTTAAAATAAATTTGGATAAATTACATTCTAAGGACCATAATTATAGTAGTTTTATGAACACATCAATAAATATTGTATGCATTTAGATATTCATAATCATTATGAAATTGAAAAATAAACTCACTAATTAGATAATTTTGAGGTATAAGTAATGGTCTATAATTAGATTTTTCAATCTAGAGATAAAATGACTGGTATTTAAAAATCAATAAAAAAGTATTCAAAAAAGTTAGGAAAATCCTATTTGTAGAATATTATCAACTATAAGAATTATGAATATTTATTTGAAGATGACAAATATCTATATTTGGTCATGTAATATTTAAATGGACAAAAAATAAACAATTTAACTTTGGAGGAGTCCTGCTTTGGATTACTGAAACTATTGTATAAATATCATAATCAAGGATTCATTTTAAACACTTTTTCTGTAACTATATAACATTTATATAAGGAATTCAATACTATTTTATTAGATGAAAATTATAATCTGGAAATACTGGATAATTCTTAACTTAAAAGAATTACATCAGATTATAAAAAAGAAATATTGTAAGATGTTCAAACTATTCATAATTATCTTTTATAAAAGTACTATAATTAATATTATTCAGATTCCCCAATAAATAAGATATTTTATTAAGCATTTTAGACATTAAAATTTAATCAGTCCAAGAATTACTTTTCAATTCATTTTTTATTAATTACTTTGGAGAAAGTAACTTTTTTGTTTTCTTAAATGCTTAACCCTATGAAAAATTAAACTTTATCTCTTCTAATACATAATTAAATTTGCTTGAAACTTTCAATACTATTAGATCAAGTATGATGGATTCTTCAGATGAATCAGATGATTTCTAATAAAATAATCAGTTTAATTTTTGTCATTCCTAATTTGAAGATTCTCCAATGCTTTCTCCTAAAATAAAGCCTAAACATCAATCAAGATTATCAAGTAGATAAGTTGTATTAGAAACTTTATTAAATGAATAAATAATTACACCACAATAGTTCTAACAGTTTTATAAAGAAGAAGATTTTTAAAATGAATAAGAAATTAATGAATTTAGTGAAATGCTCTCTAAGGAAATTGAAAATTCTTAATTAACAACACCTATTTAAAGTGATGTAAGTATATTATTTATTATTAGTCTACTGCTACATGTCCTAATACAGTCATTATTCACTCTAGAAAAAATGTAGTCAATCGAATTAGTGATATAATACTTGAAGCATAATAGGAATTTATTTAAGCTACAAAAAAACCCTATAATGTTAATAAAGTCTAGAATGTAAGAAAGAATCTATTCAATTTACATTGATATTCTTTATATACCTTATACATAATTTTGTTAATTTATTAATCTTTCTTTTTTTATTAACAAATTTAGCCGTTTTGAATACATTTTCAATATAAAACTTCATTTGGTATATAGTATGGTTTAGAATACTATCAAATCAATATCTATATTCTAGGAATGGTAATCTAAAACATTTAATACCATTCCAAAAACAAAGTTCATTCAAATTATACAGAAGCCATATGTTATAAAATTATAAAAAAGCTATTAATTACTTTTACTTTCAATAATTATATATATATATATATTATAATAAGTGATTTATATAATATTAGTAATAGAAGGATTAACGTATTTAAATGTTTACAATTATATTCCTTCATCATATATTAAATAATATTGAGATAGTATATATATGAGAAATTAATTTAATTTCTATGAAGACTAGTTATCTAATATTGATTTTACATTAAAATCAAGAATATTGTTGTATTAACATTTTTTAGATTTATTTAAAATAACACACACATAATGAATCANCTATTCATAATTATCTTTTATAAAAGTACTATAATTAATATTATTCAGATTCCCCAATAAATAAGATATTTTATTAAGCATTTTAGACATTAAAATTTAATCAGTCCAAGAATTACTTTTCAATTCATTTTTTATTAATTACTTTGGAGAAAGTAACTTTTTTGTTTTCTTAAATGCTTAACCCTATGAAAAATTAAACTTTATCTCTTCTAATACATAATTAAATTTGCTTGAAACTTTCAATACTATTAGATCAAGTATGATGGATTCTTCAGATGAATCAGATGATTTCTAATAAAATAATCAGTTTAATTTTTGTCATTCCTAATTTGAAGATTCTCCAATGCTTTCTCCTAAAATAAAGCCTAAACATCAATCAAGATTATCAAGTAGATAAGTTGTATTAGAAACTTTATTAAATGAATAAATAATTACACCACAATAGTTCTAACAGTTTTATAAAGAAGAAGATTTTTAAAATGAATAAGAAATTAATGAATTTAGTGAAATGCTCTCTAAGGAAATTGAAAATTCTTAATTAACAACACCTATTTAAAGTGATGTAAGTATATTATTTATTATTAGTCTACTGCTACATGTCCTAATACAGTCATTATTCACTCTAGAAAAAATGTAGTCAATCGAATTAGTGATATAATACTTGAAGCATAATAGGAATTTATTTAAGCTACAAAAAAACCCTATAATGTTAATAAAGTCTAGAATGTAAGAAAGAATCTATTCAATTTACATTGATATTCTTTATATACCTTATACATAATTTTGTTAATTTATTAATCTTTCTTTTTTTATTAACAAATTTAGCCGTTTTGAATACATTTTCAATATAAAACTTCATTTGGTATATAGTATGGTTTAGAATACTATCAAATCAATATCTATATTCTAGGAATGGTAATCTAAAACATTTAATACCATTCCAAAAACAAAGTTCATTCAAATTATACAGAAGCCATATGTTATAAAATTATAAAAAAGCTATTAATTACTTTTACTTTCAATAATTATATATATATATATATTATAATAAGTGATTTATATAATATTAGTAATAGAAGGATTAACGTATTTAAATGTTTACAATTATATTCCTTCATCATATATTAAATAATATTGAGATAGTATATATATGAGAAATTAATTTAATTTCTATGAAGACTAGTTATCTAATATTGATTTTACATTAAAATCAAGAATATTGTTGTATTAACATTTTTTAGATTTATTTAAAATAACACACACATAATGAATCATATACTGTAATCTCATTTATTTTTATTTTCATTTTTATTTTCTTAAGTATAAATTTTGGTTTACTGAATTAATTTAACATTAATATAAATCACACATATTTTTTCTATTATTTTCATAATCTTAATTATTTAATATTACATGATTCTACTTTATTAGACATATATATTTTTATTTTTAGATATAGATCTAAATGTTCATTCAAATTTAATAGAGACTCATTCATTTCTCATAATTTCATATAAACAATCTTAACATTATTATTATGTTACCAATTTCATAACTTAAAATTATTTCAAACCTCTTTTTGATTAATATCTATTTCTTTAAGATAATATGTAATAAAGGTTATTTATATTAAACATTTAATAATATTTATTAAAATTAGAATTATGATTAGAATTTTCATTTCATTTAATATTATTTTTAATCTAAATATTAGAATAATGACAATGCATAATTTAAATATCGTTATTACATAATTGAGTGGAAAATAAACAATGTGTAATTATTTTTTAAATAAAATAATTTAACAAAGAAAGTGAAAAATGTGGCTCTATTACTCAACATATATATATATATATAATAGTTAATCAATTATTTATTCTAAATTTATAATAATTTAATAATCTATAAATATAATTTATCAATAATATCAATACTCCTTCTCACAAAATGAAAAATATTCTGAAATTACTACATAAGACCAAATACAATTGAATATTTATTATTTAAGTAAATAGGCCAATTAGAATTTCTTACTCATAAGTATTTATTTTGGATCTTCTTTAAAGTTCTTTCCCCAATGTTCTATTTAAGGAAACCAAACATCAAATGTTATACTAATTAAACTTATATAAAATCTGAATTTAATTAATTTAGTTAATGAATTCTATAAATTCTGTTTTGATTCATCTTTTGGTCTATGTGTATATTAATATTAACATAAGGAGAATAAACTTAAACCAATAAATCCATAATATAAAAAATGAATAAAGAATGCATCAAATAATATAGTTGGTTTGCTTACAAAATACATTAATGAAAAATATCTAATTTGATGTTGATTAAATTCAGGAAATAACTTTTCTCTAAAAGATTTCAATAATTTATTATAAAAATAAGCACTTGGTAATGAAACAAATCCAATGAATCCAAAATTAAGTCCTACATCTCTTATTTATAATTTATCCTTTTAAGTTAGATACAAGGGGATATTTAATAAAGATCCTTAATAAATAGTATTCACTAAAATATTCAATACCATATTTTTATTAATATATATATGAATTTAAATTAAACCAATAAAATATTTTAGGAGGCATTTGAGAATAGTTAAAAAGTACCACCATTAGTAAATAGAATCTAAATTATTCCTTTGAAATAGTTAGAGGGTGATTAGAAATCATTATTGGAATTATACAAAATATAATCATAAGAAATGAGAAGAAAATATAATAATAACAGTGAATTATAATAGACGTTAGAGAGTAAATTTATTAGTAGAAATTCATCAAAATAAACTTTATTCTGATATTATTAATATTAATTTTAATATTCAATAACCACTCTTTCTCTTTTATTAATCAGTGTCTAGCATTTGATATTAACCATAATAATTGTAATTCAGATATTACTAATTATATTAATAATATTGTTGTTCGTCATTGTAAAAGTTTTGAGAATAATAATATGCTTAATCTATTTAGGACACTTATAATGTTGGATCAGGTGTTTATGTTGTAGATGCAAAGGTTTTACGACGACTAAGAATTAGATTATGAATACCTATTAGGTATGTAACCTTTTCCAATTCCATAAATAACATTCATATTCTTTTCGAAATCACTTTACAAATCTGGAAAACAAAACTTCATTTGATAATAACATTGTAATGTTAATAGAGCATCAGATCCAGCTTAATGTTCAGGACCTATACGTGTTACTTCAACTTTAGTTGCTAATCTACTGAGACCTGCATCTTTATATTTAGGATTATCTTTAAGTATGTATTTTAAATCATAGATTGATGGGAAATAGAGTTTCATCATTTTATAGAATTCATCTTAGGTTTCAGGAATACCAGAATGATGAAATAGATGCAATAGATATCCAAAATCAAATTCACCATGAAATACAACATATTTAATTTCATCATTTAAAATTAATCCTAATAAATATGCAATTATTAATACCACTCCCTGTAACCACTTCACAAAATTCAGAATAATCAATACCTTTTGATGCCAGATCATCAAATTTAATTCCTGCTTGTTCTAACATGTTTTTAACAGAACTCATAAGCTAATCATATCTATAAGTATTTAAATAAAATGATACTGTGCATTAAATCTGAAATGAAATTGCCATGTATTTTTAGCTAAAGGTACTTCTCCTGCTTCATTTGCTAAACTAATTCCTAATTGGATAAGTTTATATTTTTGGACATTTCTGACTAATTATACATATTCATAATCCTAATATATTACTATATCAAAATAACCTTATCATCACTTTCTGGTTAATCATATTCTGTTCCTGGAAATTCTGTGTCCTAAAATCAATAAAATCATTACTAAGGATATAACATTAAATTCTTCTATTAAATCAGCAATTTCTGCAATTTCTGCTTAAAAATTGTGTGCCCAAACGTCAACAATATTTGTCTTATTAAGATGTGTTAATTTCACTCTTGGATTGGATTCTTTTAACTTCTTTAAATACTAGCAATTACTTTTCTATGCATTTTGATAATTAATTTAATATATGTATATTATTGCATATTTAATATCTCAATATGATCTTCCCCATAATACATACTTCTTTGCTTATTAACCACAATTGAAACATAATTCTCCTTCTTTTACTTAATCTTACTTTAATGGCATACATAAAGTCTTAGCACTACCAGTTAATTAAACTTATCCATCAATTTCAGAATCTTTTTCTTTAGATTCTATTCCTGACTTTGTTTTCACTTACTTTTCACATTCTTATCTTTCACACCTAAATTAATATCATATATACCATTTAGTTAATATAGTATTTCTTTGATTTAATTAACTCATAAATTCTTTCCAATTATCAGCTTATTTTATTCTTTAATTTAATTCAATTTTAGCTTTTTCTAACATGTTATTATGAATATTATCAAGTATTTAATTTAATTAATTAAGTTCCTCTATCTTAATTTAATATTTCTTATTATCAAATCTTTAAACAACTCTAACTTCATTATTTTTGAATTCTCCAGGTCCTATTTCTAATCTAATAGGAACTCCTTTCTATTCCCACTTATTAAATTTCCATCCAGGAGAATAATTATCTCTACTATCTAAATGTACTCTTAATTTTTATTTAATCAATCTATAAATTTTATTAATATAATTAATACATTTATCTAATTTATTCACATTTTTCATTTAATTATGTCTCATCAAGATCTTTATGAATAATTGGAATAATAACAATTTAATATTTAGCAATCCTTGGTGGTAATACTAAACCTTTATCATCACCATGAAACATAATCATAGCACCAATAGATCTAGTTGTTAAACCCCAACTTGTTTACCAAGCAAATGCTTTTTATTTTTTATCATCTTCAAAATTAATCTCAAACATCTTGCTGAAATTTTATCCTAAATGATGAGATGTAGCACCTTATAAACCTCTTCCATTTTATGGAATGATTGTTTCTACTGTAGTTGTAAAATCACCACCTGCAAATTTCTCTGATTCTGTTTTAATCTATTTATATTTATAAATATTTATACTCCTTTTATAACAGGAACAGCTAATAATTCACCATAAACTTATTCATAAAAATCTAAAATTGTATAAACTTATTTAACTGCTTCTTCTCTTGTTGAATGAGCTGTATGTCCTTCTTACCATAAGAATTCTCTTGTTCTAATAAATGGAGTTGGAAATTTAAATTCCCATCTCACTATATTTGTCCATTAATTCACTTTTAATGGTAAATCTCTATGACTCTATACCCATTTTGCAAATGCTGGATACATAATTGTTTCTGATGTTGGTCTAATGGCTAATGGTTCATTTAGATCACTTTCTCCATATTTTGTTACCCAAGCAACTTCTGCTTTAAATCCTTCTACATGTTCTTTTTCTTTATTCAAATGTTTTGCAGATAGAAACATTGGGAAATAAGTATTTTCAACATCTTCTGTTCTAATAAGATCATCAAAAAATCTTTAAATTTATTCCCATATGAAATATGCCCATGGTCTTAAAATATAACAACCACTAACATCATAATATTCAATTAATTCTGCTTTTCTTATTACTTATTAATACCATTCTGAAAAATCTGATTTTTTTACTGTAATAGCTAATGTTTATAAATTTTATTAATCTTTTTATAAATCTTTTTATTGTTCTTTTTATTATTCTTTTTATTATTCTAATTTTTATTCTGCAGCAGCATCTGTTAATTATAAAACTGTAAATTATCTGTTTAATATTTTAAGGAACTTGTTTTATAAATCATCAAGTGAAATTTCAATTGTACTTGTATTTTCAATTGGATGTAACGCTAATCTCTAATATTTAATCAATTCTTCATCAATAATAATATTTTTGACCTATTTTATATTATATGAGCAATACTAAATTATTTATATCATTAGCAACAGCAAAAGGATTGACATTGCCTTTACTTGATTTCAAAGCTTCAGCAATCTATTCTTCTTTACTTAATCTCATGTTTCCAGATGCTAATCCAAGTGTTTTCCAAAACAATTTACCAACTTGAGTTGTATGATTAGCTAATATCAAATAATAATTAGACTAATTTATAATAATATATATTATACTTTCTTATCAACATACAATAGATTCTTTACATATGCTGTTCCATCTGCAACTTTAATTTTAACAACTTCTTCCATAGTTGGAACAGGATCATGATGATGTATTATATAATCTATTCCTAATTTTGTTAATTAGTCTAAACAGGTTTATTTATTGGGTAATTAGAAATTATTATCCATTAAAATATTAAAAATAATTTTGAGATTATTTAAATGATAACTCAGATATTCATTAACTTTTTAATATATATAGATATATAAATATTATAATCATTTTTCTATGTTTTTATATTATCTATTAGAGTAACATGTATATCCAATGAAAAGAATGTCAATCAATACAGTGATGAAAAAGAGATAAAATTAAGCGGAATTTATTTAATATACTCCAAACATTAAATTTTCTCTCATTGAATTTAATTGATTCTTAACATATATATCTGAGCAATCAAGATTTATGACTTAATCAAAAAAATCTAATTCTTTTTGAATTTTACTAAATTCAAGTGATATTAATATAGCAAATGGTACATAAATTACAAATTTAACACCAATTTCAATTAAAAATAGTCGTTTTGATGTTTCATCTTAATCTTTTGTTTATAAACAGGGTATTTACTTTCCCATAATATTCATAAAAGTAAATATACTTAATACAATTGAGATAATAACAAAGAAAAATACTGAAATAATAAGCTAAGATGTTTATCCATCCAAAATTTCATTCAAATATATTTATTGATTTAAGAATTCATTTAATTCCTATCCTCTACATTTCATTTTCCAAGGAATATATGATCTCTAATACAATCCTTAATAATAATTATTCATATATACCCCATTTAGTTTGATTTGAAATTTCATAACCATTTAAAACTTCACTTAAATTAGATAAACCATTAATATTATAAAAAATATCTTCTGTAGTTAAAGCGACTTCTTCAAATCTTGGGTCATATTAACATTCCTTTCTTTTAATCCTCATAAGTGGATAATCCTCCCTTCCATTTGTGATACCATATTCATTATTTCTTAAACACACTCCTCCTTATCCTATTCTAATTTCTGCTACTGGTAAATATTCATTTGAAATTCTTGAATAAATTATTGTATCTTAGTCCAAAGTATTTCCTTCCTCATAATTTTCCAAAATATTTTTACTTTTTAATCCTATTCTTCTTATAGGACATACTTTTTCTTAAGTACAATAAAATTGATCATCATTTTCTCCACATTTTAAAAATCCATCACGACAATCTTTACTTTTAGGTGCCCATTTATAAAAATTATTATCTTTTTCTCTTGTTGCACATAATTAGAATCCTGTTTTATTATTTGAACTTGGAAACAAAATAAATTATTTTTCATTTATACTGCTAATTGTTGAACATCCAGATCGTAATTGTGTTTAATTGCATTATTTACCTACTATCAATTGATTTAATTTTTATGACTAAATGTTTTCCTCTTATAATAATCTTCTTTTTGTAGAACAGTCACATCCATCTATTGTTCCAGGCCATTTATATTCAATTAAAGGTTCTTCCTATTACCTTAAGATAGATAAACTACTTCTTAAGAACAACTTCCATTAGTGATTTTAATTTAAACTAAAGGTTGTTGATGCCAATTTAGTATGATATATTCATAATTATCAATTGTGTATTAGAAAGATGAATAAGATAGTATTGATAAGGTTAGTAATATGATCCCTAATATTATTAACCAAGACTAATATGCTATCTATAGTCCTTTTTTTTTAATTGAAATTTGAGATTTGCTAGATTCTGTATTTTCTGAATATCGTCGCATATGAAATCAAGAATGAGAAATAAATTTATAATAATTAATTTTAAATTGTGTTAATTTAATTTAAATGAACCTTCCCTTAAGATAAATTTATTATCATTGATTTTCATCATCTATTTCTTATTAAGATATATTGACTTCTACTTCTACTTCATCTTCTTATTATTATTATTAAATGTTCTAATTCTCTTCTTCATTTTCATATTCTTATTAATTAATATCTTAATTATTATTTTATTCTTAATATATTTCATTAGGATTCTCATTTTAATGAGATTAATTCTACTCTATATATTCCTTATCCTCTTATTTTTATTCAATAACTTGATTTAATTATTGTTTTTCAAACTATTTATGAGGACCAAGATGTAATTAATTAATCAAATTTGATGATTATAATTCAATATATTACCAATATTGAATCTATTCATCAATTAATTTTTATTCTAATTCTGATACTTATTTTATTAGATTTGAATAGAATTTATATTTTATATCTTAAAATCTTTCAATTTCTATAAATCCAATTATTGCTTACATTATATCAATTAGATTTTATAAATTATCTAATTCATTTTAATTTGTTTATATCTATATATTTAAATGACTTTTAAGTTATTCTGGTGTTTATTTATTAAATATATTTTTTAAAAAGTTAGGATTTTTACCATCATTTACATTATTTAATTCTTATTATGTTTCTAATTATTTAGCTTCTAATTTCTTTTTTAATTCTTCATATTCTTTTTTAATTTTCAAACTCTAATGAAATGCCTAAACTTAATAAATTATAATACAAGACCTTAATATCTTTCAATTCTTATCTAATATATTCATATAGTTTATCTATATTTCTTCTTTTGAAAATGACACTTTAATTATATTATGTATCCAATTATTTCTTGATATTTTCATTTGTGAACAATAAATTATCAAATTAATTGTTTTAATATATCTAAATAAACTATTTCTCATAATTTGGTAAATGCATAATCATAATTTTCTCTAAACTTTAATTATATAATTCTTATGATTAGTACAAATCTCTTATATACTTTTTTGCTAATTTTAATTAAATTTAATTATTTTTCAATTTTTCCACAAAGCCTTCAATTTTCTTATCTAAAGTTTAATCAATATCTCGCTAAATAGAAATATATAATACTCCTTATAATTCGATAAAATTAAGCTGATATTTTTAAATTAACTCTGATGTCTTTGGTTTTTGCATTTATTCACTATTAATATACATTTCAATATTTACAATATTTTATGAATCTCCTTGTCTTTAGATCTTAAGAATAATTGACTAAATTCTTAACTGTAATAAAGATTAGGTAATAATTTCATTTTATTACAGAATTGTTTCAAGAATCTTAATCGTTCTGATGCAGTTTTGATATCATTTCCTTGAAACATCTTTTTGCCTGGAATTCCTGGAATGAAACATCCAGGCCATCTTATTAATAATATATCCCTTAATGATATGAAATCCTTATATCGTCTATAGACTTCAAAGAATCCTATTTTATCTTTTCCTTTGATAATATAGTATGTATATGTATCTAATAATGACTCATGTTAATCAAAGGTTATAATATCAATTTGAATGTCTTGCGTTTCTTTTATTTCTTAATGTTGATTTTATTCATTCTCATCTAGATTGACAATTGACATATTAATAATATTTATTAAATGAAAAATCAGTCAAATATCCTATTATTAATTTATATGTCCCATTGATATTGATATATAATCTCATAATTAATCTTGATCAATAACTGATATACTATTAAATGAAAGAAATAGAAAATTAATAAAGAAATTTATTTTAGTTAAAAAAAAAAATTATTCTGAATACAAGAAAATTGATAGAAGAAAGAATAATTAATTTCTCTAAATTAATATTCATTAATTAAAATTATCAAATTAATATTAAAACATATATTGTAAATTTTGATATTTCATTAAATATATATGTGTCTAAAAATTATGGTAATTAAAGGGAAGAATAAAAAATTAAGAATTTAAATAGAGGTTATTATATTATTTTTGAAGTGATTTAATGACTACAATATATTTATAAATAATTATAACTATTACATAATACTATTATAAATTATATTGATATATTGCCATAAATAATAATAAATAATTAATGATATAAAATTGGATAGGAAAATTATTATTTAATATTTGTGGAGATCTAGTTGAAGTATTATATATAATTCTATATAAATTAAGGATTTCCCTAATAATGAAATTGAAATAAATAAATGGTAAGGAGTTGGTGAAAAAAGAAATATTAAATTTAAATAGAACAAAGTAAGAGAATGGATGATGGAATATTTTGGATTAAATGTAGATGTTAAAAGAGCTGAAATTGAATTATTATAATTTAAAATCCCTTGGAATAGAATTTGGAAAGAACCTACTAAAATACTTGTAAAAGATGCATTTATTTGTGTATAAACTAGAGAAGAATTCTCTGTTGAATTGATGCGTCTATAATATTAAAGTGATCTAAAAGATTTTATTGAACATTGCTATAAAAAACTCTTTAATAATTTTACAAATACAAAAAAACAAAGTAAACTTAAAAGAGTACTTAAAAATTTTTTTTCTGAAATGATTATATTAGAAGTGTAAAACTTCCATCTCAGATTAGAGGATGAAAATAATGCTGTAAAACACAATCGTGTAGCATTAGGAGTTTTATTTAAAACATTAACTTTACAACCCTCTTATAATGTAGTATCTGTAAAATCGATATAGTCATAAAAAAATGAATAAGAAATTAAAAGAAAATTAGATTTCTCAGTTGAAGCTTTAAGTATGTATTTAAAAATTGAACCTACTTCTAAATAATCTAATAATTTATCTCCTGATTATGTAGAATAACAAGTAATAATATTTATCCATTATTATAGAATGTTATCATAGATCCGTTATCATTTCGAATACTTATACATACTAATCTAACTTAATAAGAAGAAATTCCTTTAAAATATATTGAAATTCAATTTGGTGATGATGTAATAATATAATAATATTCTTAGATTAAAATAAATATTGATAATTAATAATTTTAAACAATTCTCAAATTATTAAAATTAAGAGATTGGTATTGTTAATAAGGAGATCATTTATAATATAGACCTTAATATAAATCTAGTCCTAAAGATAATCCGTTTGAATGGCTTCTTTATTGGAAATAAATTGTCACAGTAATTAGATGTAGAATAAACAAATAAAAAATAAATCTTAAATCTAAAATGAGAAATGATTTGGTTAAATACATTATTGTGGATTTTCTTCATTAATAATATTAACAAAATGATGATAATAAATATTTGATTGATGAATAAATGATATTATATACAGATATAATGTAAAATAAACAATAAATAGAAGATAAATTACTCTAAGAAGAAATTGAATTTGTATTCTATAAAGTAAATAAAATATTAAACTCACCTGAATAATTAAAAGAAATATTAGTAAAAATGAATTTAGAATAACCTTAATAATAAGAGAAAAAATAAACTATATGGTCTTATTTTTGGAAATAAAAGTAATAACCTGAAGAAGGTACAGAATTTCAATCTAAATACGAAAAATTATATACATAAATAAGCTAAAATGAAAATAGATGTTTAAAAAGGTTAGAAATATAAATTTCAAATATATTGGTATTATTTTATTTTATTTAGATAAACTTAAAAATAGCATAAGAAAGATCCACTGTTTTTATGAAAATAGAATTAAAAGAATCACTATTGTAATATGAGTCATTTCTAAAAATCAGAAAATTTATATTGAAACTTAAAAGAATTACAGCATATGATTGTTTAAATCCAAATAAAGATTTTTAAACTATATTTTCCTATCATTCCTATATTGAAAGATCTTAGAGGAATTAATATTTAAATTAGGAATAATCATAAATAGAAATTTCATTTGAATATAATAAAGAAGTTAATAAATCACTTTTTAAAGTTAAATCATTACCTCATTTAATGTCCTTAAATGATACAGTTTTAGCACGTCTACAGCCATTCCTAAAATAATTAAGAAAAAATGATTATTTTTATGACATTGTCTTTATAAGTTAAGGTAATTTCAAGTAAAGTGAATTTATAAATGTGATATCAAATTTATGCAAAGCAAATAGTTTAATAATAGATATCAATATATCTCATGTTACAATTAGAATTCCTGAAAGTGCAATAAAAACTAATTGTCCAGTCCTTGAAATCACTCTTGAAAACTATCTATTATAATTTCTTAATACAGTAACATAATAAATAAATAAATTTGCTATTAACTTTTAATATGTTGAAAAGAATTGTAAATAATCAATTCATATCTTGTAACCAGTTTCAATTACAACTAAAGTTGTTTAAAATTAAAATTAAGATGAATAAAATAAATTAACTGAACTAACAGATCTAGTATTAGAAAATAAAATTAGTGATATATTTATAACTATTCCTATAATGAAAACTGATTTTTTTAAGAATTTTGTTTATAATGTATTAGGAACTTTAGATAATTTAAAGAAGATATCTATCTTTTTATAAAAGGAAGATTCTGTTAATTAATCATCATCAGTTAATTCTGTTAATAGAAGAAAAAGATCTAGATCTTGGTCTTAATAAAGAGATTAATCATCAAGAAGGGAAGATTGTTCATCTTAAACTAGTGAAATTTATTATGATGCTGAAGAATTCATTAATATTCCCTTCATTTAATCAATTACTTAAAGTAGATAACAAGTATCTCCTTAGGAAAAGAGAGAAGAAATGTTAAAGAAATGGAATAAAATAAGAATTAATTTGAATTATTTGGTTAATAAAATATTTAAAGAAGCTGATCCAAAAATTAGTTAATTTTTAGAATCTTTAAGATTAAAAGCAGTTTTTGAATTATAAAAATTTTAAATTAAAGTAGCAATTTAAAAAAATAATGATAGAAACTCATATTTTTATATTGATAATATTAATGTAACTATTGAAAAAGCTTTTAAAGTAAAACATTTTGGATTTCAACTATAAATAAATACAATAACATTATCAATTTATAAATTGCATTAATTGAAATAACTAAAAAAATATTCAGGTCCATAATCAGATGATATAATGGCTCATATAAATGAAGATATGCTCAATTTACTCCCTTTTTTATTAAGAATTAAAGAGTTATAAATTTATTATTTAATTTCAGTCAAAGAGATAAAATTAGAATTATAAAATATCAAAGATACTAATTCAAATTATCTAACAACATGTTTAAGTAATTTTAATCTTTAAAGTTAATTGCCTTTTAAAATTATGTATAAAGAAAAATTATCAGATAAACCTTTCTTTTTAGAAATTAATAATTCTGTATCTTCATGGGATACAACTTGTGATTGCAAATTTATATTGAATATATTATATTACAATGGAAAACTCAAATTATATGAACCTATTTTAGATACTTGTGAGGCAATAATTACTTTTTAAAAAAGTTCTGAGGAGCTATGTTTTGAAACAAAATTTAATTAATTGCTATTTAATATAACACCATAACTAATATTCACTCTTTATTCATTGAATCAACATTCATTATAAATTAAGTAATTTTTATTGTAAGATTTAAATGCTTCATAAGATTAAATAGTTGTTTAAAAATAAACATTGACATAGAAATTTGAAATTGAAATCGAACATGATAATGCAAAATTATTAGTAGATTAAATTGAAATTTAGCATTCTTAACACTATAAAACTAAATATAGAATATAATTATAGACTGCTAGTTCAGATGATGAAGTATCTAATGAAAAAACAAACTAAAATTCAAGACATGTGACTTTTCATGATTAAGATCCATCTCCATTAATGAAATAATAAACTCCAAACTTTAAAAAACAAACTTCTTTATTAGAAGAAGAAATCCTTTTAGATTAATCAAATGAGAAAGATACAATTAAAAGAATAGCTAGTGAAATTGATGTTTCTGAGAAGTAGCGTTTTGTGACAGAAATTTTAGGAGACTACTTACCTATTGAATAGAGCACTAAATACATTTTTGTTAATTTAACTGTTCAAAAATTATTATTTAATTTAAATGGAATTGAATAATACATAAATGAAAAAGAAAGCAAATTTGTTAGATGTACTGAAGTTATGGCATTTAAAATTACATCTTAAAGAAATTTTTATAGATATAGTTCTTTAATTAAAACAAAAGAAGAAAGAACTTATTTTTTGAAAACAGATAATAGAGATCATAAATTAAAAACAATTTATTATTTATTATCAATAATAAATAGAAATTAAAATCAAATTATCATTTATTAAATTGAATAATTACCTAAAGCACCATATTTGATAAAAAACAAATGTTCATAATTAATTTTATTCTATTAATAAAATTTTGAAAAATAATAATGTGTTTTAGAACCTGGAAAATCTTCTGGATTCTGCTGGGAAGATCCATTTTAAGCTCCATAATTGTAATTAGAAATTCATTATGAGGGACAAACAAAAAGGTTTTTAATAGATATTGATAGATTTAATAATTAAGAACTGTAAATTGATAAACAATTGGATTCGACTATTGATAAAGAATATAGTTTAGAAATATTTAATGATGGATTATAAAAAGTGATTGTATTAGCTGAGGCTTAATCTTTAAAAAAGAAAAAAAAATCTTATAAAATAACATGTGATTTGATAGGATTTTCATTTATTGATGAATGGGAAATTTTATATGCTGAAATAAATAACGCTTATTATATTTAATAATAATAATAAACTGATATAGTAACTTATTAGATTTCTGCTGAAAATATTTAACTTGATGCATGTGGATTACCAATACCAAAAAGATAATTATATATTGTAAATAATTAAATTAATAATATAAATAAATCGGTTGGATAAAAAAAATCAATAACCTAATCTTAATAAATATAAGATACTACATGTGGTCTAAGAGAATAATTAAAATTAAAAATAAAGTAAAAAACAATCTCTGAAATTTTAGTACACTTAAAATATGTGAAAATAAGAATTCCAAATTATAAAATCATAATAGATAGTAATTTATTATTATAAGTTTTTTCGTTTATTAAACACACAAAATTGCTTTTAGATGCTTTTAATACTCCTAAATAAAAATCTAAATCCCTTTTATTATAATAATCATTTGAAAAGCTTAACAATTCAAATATTAGTGATAAATAAATTCAAGTTTAACCTAAAAAAATTCATATTGATAAAGTTATAATAAGACCCTTTTCTGTAAAAATGAGGTTTAAGAATTTATTGAATATGGAATAAGAACTTAAAACATTACATCATCAAGCAGGGTAATTAATAATTCTTTATTTTCAGATTGATCACTTTCGTACTTAATCAGTTTCAGTAATTAAACCTTGAATTTTAGCAATATATAAAAACAGATTATTAATAATTTATGGATGCAAATTATGAGCTTCATATTAAGGCTTTATTTAATGTTTTTGGTGAGTCAATAAATCAATAAGTATTGTATTTTTTATATCCTTAGATAAGATGCTAAGTAAACCCAACTAATTTCTTAAAAAATTAAGGAAATTTAGCCAAGCAATTCCTCACAGAATTAAAAAATTTATAAAGTGAAATGGATAAAAACGATATATTTTAAGGTGGCTTACCAGTTAAATTTCAATTATTATAAACCTTTTGTGTTATAAGTAAATCACTTTATGATGCTGCGTAAGAAACTTTCGTATCTGTTTTATTAGGAATTGGGAAATATTGTGAAACATCCCAACCTGATTAAACAATTCAAAGAACATCCTTTTCAAATAAATTATCAAAACTGTTTAGAAAAGTTTCTGATTTTTAATTTAAAAGTTAAAATACTTTAGAAATTTCTTTTTAAATGTTAATTTCTAAATTAAAAACTAGGAGATATCCTAAATATATTCATAAAAACAGATAAATCACTTCATACAATGAAGATTTATCTAAATTTTAATTATATAGATTATGGAAATTAGGATTGGATCAATAATTTGATCATTTTTAATTGTCTTTGAATTGCTACTTATTTTTATCAAATCAATTATTCATATTATTGGATACTTAATATAATTAAATATTATTAGAGATGAATTAAAGAATGTTTTAATCAATAACAAACACTAATTCCACTTGTGTTATAAAATATTAGAAATCTAATGTTAATAAGTAAGAAGGAGACGATGATATTGGTATGAAGTAATTAAAAGTAGAAAAACTTATGCTTAACTTTACAATAGACGAAAAAATATTATAATCAATTACTCATATAATCAAATCTAATTTAGAAATTCTTAATGTAAAAGAAAATAAAATATTTAGTATTATGATGTTAATTTGAAAATTTTATTGTTTTATATTATATTTAATTATTAATAAAGCAAATATTCATTACTATTATTATTCTCGTTGCTATTTTATATTTTTTTTAATTTTTGCCAAAGACTTTAAACTTCGGAATCTCATTTCTTGTACTTATTATTTATAAGACTTTCTTTCTTCAATTTGTTTTATTACACTATTTTCTACTTCACCATTATTTTCACTTATATCTTAATCTTTCAAATTCTTTTTAAGATCAGTTTTTTGTACATAAGAATTTATTTGATCAATCGCCTTTTTCCTTTAGGTTTCTTCATCAATTATTCTATTGAATTTCTTTTATTCAATTAAATTTTCAATCATTTGGGATAATTCCGTAAAAAAATAATCAGAATCTACTTTTTTTGGGTCTTCAAAAAATGCCTCACAAATATCATTAAATTATTAATTAACTTTAGAATAAAATTCATTTAGATTTTATTTTTGACATAATTCTAAATTATCTACTTTAATTTTATCTGAATATTTGATTATTAATTTTTAATCTTATTCTTATTTTTCAATCTACTTTTTAATATTTATTAGAGAAACTTTTGATAATTTTTTTAATTATTGTAAATTGAAATCTTCCTCCCCTATTAATTCCCCTTCATTTTATTCTGCCATTCTAAGTATAAGACTAAGAAAATTAATTTTAGAAGAATTATTTGACTTAATTGGAGCAATCTTACTAAATTCAGATAGTTTAAATCCATAAGAATCTTTATTTGAGGAACTATTCAAATAATTTATTCCGGCTAAAATGTAACATAATAGCTTTTTTAATTTCACATTAGATTGAATAGATTAAATCTATTCCTCTATTAAATTTAATTCATTCTAAATTTCATTTTGACTTTAATTCAATAAAATTTAAAACACTATAATTCTTTCATAATAATTTTCTATTTGGATTAAGTTATATAAAAAGAGTTCAGGTCTGTTCAACACACTTATATTTTCAATTTTCTTAAATTCTTATATTTCTTGTATTGTTGGAAGTATTTGAATTAAACTTTCAATGTCATCAGAAGTAAACTTTTAATAGTTCATTTCTTTTATATAATTAATCATATCATCCATTTTAATTTTAATTTTAACTAAAATTAATTCAATATTTCTCGATCTATCTAATGTCAAAACCTATTACTATTTTGTCTTAATTTAAGAAGAGCTAGGTAATGAAATTGCAATCTTAGATTAATTCTTTTAAAAGTGTTTATCCAATTCTTCAAATTTTAGTTCGATTTTTGAATCATCGAGAGTTGAAAATATATTACTCTTCATTTATTTTATTTCTGTTATGCCAACGCAGATTAATTATTAAGTAGGTTTTCTTCTTTGTCTAATATCCTTTTTATTTTAAACTTAAACTGCCTTTTAAGGTGGTGGAGGAGGGGGTGGTGGTGGAGGGGGAGGTGGCAAAGATGGAGGAACTGAAGGAGCACTTTTTTATACAGGTAGAGAATAGCTCATTAAGACAGGTGTTTCCTTATTTTATTCGCTAGGGTGAATCTACAAAGAACCATCAATCTTTTATAAAAGAATCGTTTCATCTAATCCCTGTAGCTGGGTGACTGAATCAGAAGATTATTAATTATCTGTGCACTTTTAATAAATATTTAAAGCTTATTTTAGCTTATATAGGACACTTTAGGTTTGCTTCACTAATAAATAAATCTAATTTTATACATTATGTTTGGTATACAATTTTTTATGTTTAAAAATCATTTAATTGTCTTTTTAAGTCTTCTATCTAAATTTCTTAGTTATTATATTCATCTAAACAGTTTTAAGCTACTTTTTATAATATTTTTGTGATTATATTTTTACCATAAACCTCTGCTTATGATAAGAATCTTTAAAGTTTTTTAATGCATTCATGAATGCCGCATTATTGATTAAAATCTGAAGAGAAGTGTTATAAACTTAACAAAAATTACTCTGGAAATACAACTTAGGCTAATTGAACATTACCAACTGAAACTCTATTAATAGGTTAAGATTTTGGATTGTATGAAATTCTAAATTGATTAATTGATTCCCTAATATTTGGTTCCCCTGACTCTAATAAAGTCTCAAAGGCAGATATATGCTTAATTATGATATTATTAAAGTCATTAGAATTTTCCTTAATTCCCACTAAAATTGAATAATCCTCTTAAAAAACTAATAAATTATCTTCTAACTTTTTCTTTATATCTTAAAATATTAATTCTACACCATGAACTAATAACAACTATTTTAATTGAATTTTCTCGTTAGATAGTTCAACAAAATTATTGATAAATGATAATATGGCTGCAATCTAATAAAATCTATATATAAATATATCTTACAAGTTTCTTATCTGAGGATGTTTCCAGTTACTATATTGTTTAAAGTAAACAAAATTCTTAACTCTACTTTTTCATTAGTGATTCTATCAATTAATATCCATTAATTTATCTCCAAGATATTTTTTCATATTATTAGTATATTTAAGCTTATATCTAACTATTTGGTATTTTAATTATTCGTGAAAAATTATTTGTTAAAGTTATTAATTACTATTCTTCTAGTGTTAACCCTAAAAAAAGCAAATTGCCTTACAGCATTACATATAACTTATCATAAATATTCAGAGTATTTCTATTTAAACTTAGATATTCAATTTATTTTTATACAATCGGAAATGCAAAGGCTATTAATTAATTAGTTAATAGCTCATCATTTAAACCTATCAGTGCTTTTAATTCTTAATAAAAAGAAATATAGATTAATAAATCAGAATCTTAATTTAGATTATTTATCAAAGGATTTTCATTAATTAGAGCATAATAATGCAAAACTAATAACAATTATTTTTATTTCAGATTTAAGTTTGAAAACTTTTTTTTTTCTAGATTTGTATCAGAAAGTATTTAGTCAAATATTTCTTCAAAATTATCCACATTAATTTAAAGCTTTGGAGGTTAGCTTATGTTTTTAATGTTCAATTATTTTCCTCGAAACATATAAGAATATTATGTCGAATTGGAGGATGAGTTAAGTTCATTCCCCATTTTATTAATATAAAATTTATACTAAAATTATTCATTCTTAAAATGACTTATAATGAAAGCTCTGAATCAATCAATATTAAAAAGAGACTTTTTATATAGATAAATATATTAGAAACTAATTTTCTTACAAATAGATGAATAGTCAAAAATCTAATATCGATTGTGAAGAATAAAAAATCATTTAAAATTTCTATTTATATATATTTAGATAAGCNTATTTTTACCATAAACCTCTGCTTATGATAAGAATCTTTAAAGTTTTTTAATGCATTCATGAATGCCGCATTATTGATTAAAATCTGAAGAGAAGTGTTATAAACTTAACAAAAATTACTCTGGAAATACAACTTAGGCTAATTGAACATTACCAACTGAAACTCTATTAATAGGTTAAGATTTTGGATTGTATGAAATTCTAAATTGATTAATTGATTCCCTAATATTTGGTTCCCCTGACTCTAATAAAGTCTCAAAGGCAGATATATGCTTAATTATGATATTATTAAAGTCATTAGAATTTTCCTTAATTCCCACTAAAATTGAATAATCCTCTTAAAAAACTAATAAATTATCTTCTAACTTTTTCTTTATATCTTAAAATATTAATTCTACACCATGAACTAATAACAACTATTTTAATTGAATTTTCTCGTTAGATAGTTCAACAAAATTATTGATAAATGATAATATGGCTGCAATCTAATAAAATCTATATATAAATATATCTTACAAGTTTCTTATCTGAGGATGTTTCCAGTTACTATATTGTTTAAAGTAAACAAAATTCTTAACTCTACTTTTTCATTAGTGATTCTATCAATTAATATCCATTAATTTATCTCCAAGATATTTTTTCATATTATTAGTATATTTAAGCTTATATCTAACTATTTGGTATTTTAATTATTCGTGAAAAATTATTTGTTAAAGTTATTAATTACTATTCTTCTAGTGTTAACCCTAAAAAAAGCAAATTGCCTTACAGCATTACATATAACTTATCATAAATATTCAGAGTATTTCTATTTAAACTTAGATATTCAATTTATTTTTATACAATCGGAAATGCAAAGGCTATTAATTAATTAGTTAATAGCTCATCATTTAAACCTATCAGTGCTTTTAATTCTTAATAAAAAGAAATATAGATTAATAAATCAGAATCTTAATTTAGATTATTTATCAAAGGATTTTCATTAATTAGAGCATAATAATGCAAAACTAATAACAATTATTTTTATTTCAGATTTAAGTTTGAAAACTTTTTTTTTTCTAGATTTGTATCAGAAAGTATTTAGTCAAATATTTCTTCAAAATTATCCACATTAATTTAAAGCTTTGGAGGTTAGCTTATGTTTTTAATGTTCAATTATTTTCCTCGAAACATATAAGAATATTATGTCGAATTGGAGGATGAGTTAAGTTCATTCCCCATTTTATTAATATAAAATTTATACTAAAATTATTCATTCTTAAAATGACTTATAATGAAAGCTCTGAATCAATCAATATTAAAAAGAGACTTTTTATATAGATAAATATATTAGAAACTAATTTTCTTACAAATAGATGAATAGTCAAAAATCTAATATCGATTGTGAAGAATAAAAAATCATTTAAAATTTCTATTTATATATATTTAGATAAGCTAAAAATACAACATTATTACATTAAAATAACTAGTTCTTACAATTAATTCATAGTGACTTTTATTCACGATGTATATTTAAATATCAATCTATTCGCCGTAACTCTGAATAATATAAGCTCAATTATTATCATAATATGAACTTCAAAATCAGTTATCTTCTTAGAATTATTTATTACATTATTCAATTGCTCAGCAAGCAATCATAATATAATAATCTTCTTAAGCTTTTATTAAAAATCTGCTCTTCCCCTTTGTAAATCTACTCAATTTTAATACAAAAACCTAACTTGAATGCACATCTATGCTGTCATTATTTTCCTATAAACAGCTTTGATCTGTCTATATTGGAAAACTTTGATTTCTAGGTAGTACATAACTATACTTGTAAGTCTAATCTAATAAAACTTAATCAACTAGATCAAAATGCTTTAAACACCTACCCACTTTTCATTTCCATTTCACTTTAGTATTTAGATTTAACAAACCTCTTAAAGTATTACTCATAGTTCTATAATTATTCTTCAGAACTATGTTTAATCTTCAAAAGTAATAACATTTATTATAACTCTAGTCTAGATTGATCATATACTTAATTTAATAATTTATTTGGCCATAACTCATTTTTCAATAATATATCTTCTTCAGTAATTCATGTAAAAACTAGTCTTAGATATTTTTTTTGTTTTTTTGCTATCTTTACTTTATAGTCAGCCTTTTATGATACACTTTTTGCTATTTCTGATTCCTTCTTCAAGTGCATATAATATCTCAAATTTCTTTCTTCTCTATAATAACTTAGGATGAGAAATTATGCTTGGAATTTTAAATAAGTATTTAAATTTGTCAGTCTCATTTTACATTTTTTATTTTAATCATTCTTGTTTTCTTAACTGATATCCAAAAATATTTTGAAATCTTTGGTCTTTTTCCTTATTTTGTGTGCTTTTAAGATGGAGACCTAATAATCCCCACACTATATTAATATAATCTTTGATATTTTGTTAAAAATAATAAATTTATTTTATACTTATTAATTAATAATAGTTAGTTTATATCTTTTATACTTTATGTATCGATTATTATATTATTCCTATCCAATTCACATGTAAAGGATCAAAAATAATAATCATTTCTTATTTTTTGAATTTTTTTGATAAGCAACGTGTGAGTATGTTTGCATTAGTTAAGAGACAAGATCATTCTTTAACAATTTTCATAAGACCTAGACCAATGAATTAATTAATGATCTTGATTTTTAATGAATATGCACTTTTTCTTTCAGCCTAATTCAATTTCTGCGTAAATTTATCCTAAATTTCTTGTTTTGTATTTAAATTTGGTGTAAAAATATATTATCAGTAAAATAATGAGAGAAGGCAGAGCCTAAGCTGATGAACTAAATCTAAAATGAAATTTTGGAGTCAGATAAAATTTCATAACATAAATACCATTTGAAAATTTGTTCTTTCATTAAAAAAAAATATACATCTCATCATTCTTTGTTTTAATTATGCACTCAGGTCATATTCTAAGTAGGTTGATTTGAGAATTTATTTTTACCTACCTATTGGATAAAAATATGTCGATTTGTTAGAAATATACCAGGATGGTTCATATTGATACANAAGTTTGAAAACTTTTTTTTTTCTAGATTTGTATCAGAAAGTATTTAGTCAAATATTTCTTCAAAATTATCCACATTAATTTAAAGCTTTGGAGGTTAGCTTATGTTTTTAATGTTCAATTATTTTCCTCGAAACATATAAGAATATTATGTCGAATTGGAGGATGAGTTAAGTTCATTCCCCATTTTATTAATATAAAATTTATACTAAAATTATTCATTCTTAAAATGACTTATAATGAAAGCTCTGAATCAATCAATATTAAAAAGAGACTTTTTATATAGATAAATATATTAGAAACTAATTTTCTTACAAATAGATGAATAGTCAAAAATCTAATATCGATTGTGAAGAATAAAAAATCATTTAAAATTTCTATTTATATATATTTAGATAAGCTAAAAATACAACATTATTACATTAAAATAACTAGTTCTTACAATTAATTCATAGTGACTTTTATTCACGATGTATATTTAAATATCAATCTATTCGCCGTAACTCTGAATAATATAAGCTCAATTATTATCATAATATGAACTTCAAAATCAGTTATCTTCTTAGAATTATTTATTACATTATTCAATTGCTCAGCAAGCAATCATAATATAATAATCTTCTTAAGCTTTTATTAAAAATCTGCTCTTCCCCTTTGTAAATCTACTCAATTTTAATACAAAAACCTAACTTGAATGCACATCTATGCTGTCATTATTTTCCTATAAACAGCTTTGATCTGTCTATATTGGAAAACTTTGATTTCTAGGTAGTACATAACTATACTTGTAAGTCTAATCTAATAAAACTTAATCAACTAGATCAAAATGCTTTAAACACCTACCCACTTTTCATTTCCATTTCACTTTAGTATTTAGATTTAACAAACCTCTTAAAGTATTACTCATAGTTCTATAATTATTCTTCAGAACTATGTTTAATCTTCAAAAGTAATAACATTTATTATAACTCTAGTCTAGATTGATCATATACTTAATTTAATAATTTATTTGGCCATAACTCATTTTTCAATAATATATCTTCTTCAGTAATTCATGTAAAAACTAGTCTTAGATATTTTTTTTGTTTTTTTGCTATCTTTACTTTATAGTCAGCCTTTTATGATACACTTTTTGCTATTTCTGATTCCTTCTTCAAGTGCATATAATATCTCAAATTTCTTTCTTCTCTATAATAACTTAGGATGAGAAATTATGCTTGGAATTTTAAATAAGTATTTAAATTTGTCAGTCTCATTTTACATTTTTTATTTTAATCATTCTTGTTTTCTTAACTGATATCCAAAAATATTTTGAAATCTTTGGTCTTTTTCCTTATTTTGTGTGCTTTTAAGATGGAGACCTAATAATCCCCACACTATATTAATATAATCTTTGATATTTTGTTAAAAATAATAAATTTATTTTATACTTATTAATTAATAATAGTTAGTTTATATCTTTTATACTTTATGTATCGATTATTATATTATTCCTATCCAATTCACATGTAAAGGATCAAAAATAATAATCATTTCTTATTTTTTGAATTTTTTTGATAAGCAACGTGTGAGTATGTTTGCATTAGTTAAGAGACAAGATCATTCTTTAACAATTTTCATAAGACCTAGACCAATGAATTAATTAATGATCTTGATTTTTAATGAATATGCACTTTTTCTTTCAGCCTAATTCAATTTCTGCGTAAATTTATCCTAAATTTCTTGTTTTGTATTTAAATTTGGTGTAAAAATATATTATCAGTAAAATAATGAGAGAAGGCAGAGCCTAAGCTGATGAACTAAATCTAAAATGAAATTTTGGAGTCAGATAAAATTTCATAACATAAATACCATTTGAAAATTTGTTCTTTCATTAAAAAAAAATATACATCTCATCATTCTTTGTTTTAATTATGCACTCAGGTCATATTCTAAGTAGGTTGATTTGAGAATTTATTTTTACCTACCTATTGGATAAAAATATGTCGATTTGTTAGAAATATACCAGGATGGTTCATATTGATACAGACACTATTTTTTATATTTACAAACTTAGATATTATTTTAAGATATTTTCTCTAATTTAATAGAATTTTATTACTTAATTTTATAATTCTAATTTGAATAATATTCAATAAAAAATCAGAATAAAAAATATTATTTGTTAATTCATACACTAATTTACAATCATTGCATAAGTGTTATTTATAGTATTGAATGTATTATGTATTAAATTTTGATTTCAAAGATTATTTAAATCATAAATTCCAACTAGAAAGTAAACATAAAAATTGAATTGTTGCATCAAAAGTCAATTATAATAAAAAGAATTAGCATTATCATATAAATTACAATAATTTGGAATACATCCAAGAATTATGCCATATTTATTTTCTTAACTTGGTATTTTTACTGTTTGATATTAGCTAAATTATATATTTAAAATCAACTTGTAATTTAGTTAATTATTCAAGAATATCACTCACAAGTAATTAGATATGAGAAATTTTTAGTATAAGAAATAATATTAACTTTGCTTAGATTAAATACTTGATTTGCTAAATTCTTTAATAATGTGAAGTTTGAATAAACAATAAAAGCTAAATTAAGAGTTTGCTATAAAGTATTGTTATTTAATGCTGAAGTTAAAGCTTAATTATAAATTTATAAAGGATAAATTATTGAATTATTAAAAAATAAATTTAACTATTAAGAAAGATTAAAACCTTCAATAGTAAGAAGAGTATTTATTATTGATTTTTCATCAGAGTGGCTTTCGTTTAAAGAAAGTTACTCACTATATAATATAGGTGATGTTAATTTTAACATATAAACTAAACTCATATGATATGGCAATAAAGGATTATAAATATAAACAGTGTAATTCCTAAAAGTAATTTTAAATAATAAGTTCTCACATCATATTATTATATTATGATCAAAATTTAGATTATTTAGATTTTTACATAATGATATTATTGTAAATTTCACACATTTCAAGCTTAGAAGCAAATATTCTTGTTATTATTACATATATACAATAATATCAATTATTAGATTACTAAATTTATCTATTTATTTGTAAAATTGACTTGATTCGAAGATATTGGTATTGGAAAACTATTTAATCTATTGATTATATCATTACTTCATTAATATAGTTGATATATAAAAAAGAAGACAATAATTATTTATTCACAACTATTTTTATTGGATTGAACTTAATCTTATAAAATAATTCATTTTTTGACTAGTAATTTCAAAGTATAGCGTATAATTAAATGTTAATATTTGAATTTCGTATTTTGAAATTAGAATTATTATACTATTATATGTTACTAGTATTTTTAATGAAATGTATAATTTGAACTAATTATACTATTGCTAATAAAGTAATAAAGCAAATAGATTTTATCAATATTACTGAAACCAATTATAAGCATTCTTGGATAAATACTATGGGCAACTTATTACAAACTTGCATTTCAAGAGATATTAATTGATTGCAATGGGATTGATTTGGTTGATCTTATCTACTAAAATTTATACAAGTTTATAAGTCTATTTAGTTTTACCCAAATTTGTTAAAGTTATTGGATAAATATTCATTTATATTTAAAGTATAATTTAACAATTGGCTTAAAAACTATCAAAATTTTTTATGGATTCATAGTTAAGAGAGTATAAAGATTATGGGAAATCTTATTTAAACATTACATCAATATCATTTTAACATGACACTTATAGTAAAAAATTTAGGTTAAGCGAAAATTTAGGCTTAATTTGCATTCTGACATATAATTTAAAATTTTATTTCCTGAATTTTTTAATTAGTTAAATTAGCTTACAAGGAAGCTAGCTATAATTATACAACATATTATATTAACAATCTGAAGATATGGATAATAAAATATATCTTAGGAAGTTATTGGAAAAATCTTTGGACTTATTGTAATTGGTATATCAAAATCAATACATTAATTATTTAAGCTACTCAAATTTAAAAATGAAGATTATAAAATTGTAAGTATTGAATAATTCTAAAAATATTAGGCAGATAAAATAATAGTATTTGTTTCATTTAAAATTGATCATATTTTAGTTGAAGTAAGTAAATTTGATTATATTAAAAAAACAGGTTTTGATTATGAATATATTATTTGAATTAATAAGAATTCATTGTTGTAATATCAATATACTTAAATTACGTAGATAATTTTAAAACAAATTGATATTCAAACAATTATACAAAGGATTAATTAGCATTTATATATAATTGCTTGATTATTATTATATAATGTACCAAATTCTATAATAATAATCTTAATGATTTACAATTCCCTTTTTTTCTGTATATTTCTTCACGTAAATTGAATAATTACACATTTGGAATTTAAGGTTACATTTTGCACGTTAATTAAGTTTCTGATAAAAAACTCTCAAAATGGTATTCATATAATTCTCCTACTGTTGGGTACGAAGAAATTTCTTATTCTTTGTTGAATTAAGTACAAGCAAATATTTAAATCACTTTAATATTTAAGAGTATGATAATTATTTGATTTAAGATTATTAGATTTTAATATATTTTATATAAAATTATTTTGAATTAAGCAATTTCTATAATCAAATTACAATTAAGTAGTTATGAAAACTAAGATCTCTTTATATAATTTGATTAATATTACAAATAATAGATTTTTTTAAGTTACTATCCAACAATAGTATATATTTTATATTTGATGTAACAGAAATAAAGTTCCTCTATCAACATTAATATTATTTGATCTTTATTTTAATAAAATTATTATAAAAATATACAAAAGTAATCCTAATTTTATAAATATTAATTAGTGCATATATATAACTAATTAATTCTAAATATAGTTTAAATTCAAAATACTATAAGAAACAAACTTTTTTCATAAAAATAAATGAATACATATAATAAATAAGTGCTTGTGCTTTTTTAACTTATTTTCTTAATATTATTTTTATTTTATAAAAAGTTATTAAAGTAAACTTTATTTTTTTATATATAGTTGCTACACATACTTAATTTAATTATGCAAAATTTTTTTTTACATATTATAAAACAAAATCTAATTTCATTAAAATAAAAGACTAAATGTTATTAACTAACCTGTTCTAAATTGTTGTTTAATATTACAATAATATTTACATATGATCGTTAACTTCGGATTACATATATAATTATAATATTCTTAAAATTTTTTAATTAATTAAGTTACAATTAAATTACATAAATGATAATTCTATTATTAATATGTTATTATATCAATATCCTATTAGAACGTTGTCTTTCAATTTCTCATGAAACCACATATGATACTTTTATGTAAAATAATATTTATTAGTTAAAATGGAAAATATGAATGGAAGATTGATAGATTATTTTTTGGTCTTAAAAAGTGATTTTTTTGATCTTAAGCAATTATAAATCTAATGACACAAATAACTTATATCAATTTAATCCTAATTTAAAATATATAATTTTCTTAAAGTATTGGTTTTCAATAAATTTTTTGGTAATAATGAATAATTGAAGAATGAGAAAAAAAAAGGAAAACTTTAAGAANTAATACAAAGGATTAATTAGCATTTATATATAATTGCTTGATTATTATTATATAATGTACCAAATTCTATAATAATAATCTTAATGATTTACAATTCCCTTTTTTTCTGTATATTTCTTCACGTAAATTGAATAATTACACATTTGGAATTTAAGGTTACATTTTGCACGTTAATTAAGTTTCTGATAAAAAACTCTCAAAATGGTATTCATATAATTCTCCTACTGTTGGGTACGAAGAAATTTCTTATTCTTTGTTGAATTAAGTACAAGCAAATATTTAAATCACTTTAATATTTAAGAGTATGATAATTATTTGATTTAAGATTATTAGATTTTAATATATTTTATATAAAATTATTTTGAATTAAGCAATTTCTATAATCAAATTACAATTAAGTAGTTATGAAAACTAAGATCTCTTTATATAATTTGATTAATATTACAAATAATAGATTTTTTTAAGTTACTATCCAACAATAGTATATATTTTATATTTGATGTAACAGAAATAAAGTTCCTCTATCAACATTAATATTATTTGATCTTTATTTTAATAAAATTATTATAAAAATATACAAAAGTAATCCTAATTTTATAAATATTAATTAGTGCATATATATAACTAATTAATTCTAAATATAGTTTAAATTCAAAATACTATAAGAAACAAACTTTTTTCATAAAAATAAATGAATACATATAATAAATAAGTGCTTGTGCTTTTTTAACTTATTTTCTTAATATTATTTTTATTTTATAAAAAGTTATTAAAGTAAACTTTATTTTTTTATATATAGTTGCTACACATACTTAATTTAATTATGCAAAATTTTTTTTTACATATTATAAAACAAAATCTAATTTCATTAAAATAAAAGACTAAATGTTATTAACTAACCTGTTCTAAATTGTTGTTTAATATTACAATAATATTTACATATGATCGTTAACTTCGGATTACATATATAATTATAATATTCTTAAAATTTTTTAATTAATTAAGTTACAATTAAATTACATAAATGATAATTCTATTATTAATATGTTATTATATCAATATCCTATTAGAACGTTGTCTTTCAATTTCTCATGAAACCACATATGATACTTTTATGTAAAATAATATTTATTAGTTAAAATGGAAAATATGAATGGAAGATTGATAGATTATTTTTTGGTCTTAAAAAGTGATTTTTTTGATCTTAAGCAATTATAAATCTAATGACACAAATAACTTATATCAATTTAATCCTAATTTAAAATATATAATTTTCTTAAAGTATTGGTTTTCAATAAATTTTTTGGTAATAATGAATAATTGAAGAATGAGAAAAAAAAAGGAAAACTTTAAGAAAAGTAGGAGCATTACAACTTATCATAGAAAATATATTTATGTGATTAATTATAAATTGATATAAAATACTATGGGATGTGTTAATTCTAGAAGTGTTGAAACTTATCAAAGAAAATTCAAATTAGTTATTATAGGATTAGAAGGTAGGGTAAAACAACTGTATTTGAATACATCAGATAAAGAAAATTTGCGCAGACTAAACCAACAGTTGGTTAGGAATTATAATAATAAATAGGTGTAAATGTTGATTTTAGCCATCCAGAATTCATGATTTTTGATGTTGGGGAAAATACCAAGTTTATGGAGTAATTATTATGAAAACACAGATGGCCTAATATTTATAATTGATTCTTCAAATAAAGAGTAGTTATATTAAGTCAAAGAGCAATAAGTATAGCTGAATAAAGACATAGAATACATGAATGTATTGCTAATTAAATGATATAGGTAGTAATTCTGATCATTTTTACAAAGCAAGATTTATTACATCTTGATAATTAAGTCTTAATCTAAGAATGTGGAGTAGTTGGATATTTAGAATAAGATACTGTATTCTAAATGTGTAGTGTCAAAACTGGTGAAGGTATTCAAGAAGGGATTTAAAAATTAATAAACATAATGAAAAAATAATAAAAGCCAAACATTCCATTACATACCATTTAATAACATTAAAGAAAGATATTAGTATGATAGTTAATTCAAAAATATTAATCTAAATCTATTTTACACAATTTCTCATAAGGCAAAGATTATATCTACTATAACTGTTATTTCTTTTGCATTATTTTTTAATTATTGCCTTAAACTCCATTTGAAATTATTTTACAACTTTTCATTTGGTGTTTCTCACACATGTAGTTACTTAAACTTTCAACATAGGGAGGATCAATAGTCCAGACACCATACTATACCCAATTAGCTGTTAATTATTTTATGATTTATAATCCCTTCCCTAAATTATTATCAAATAATCCTCTTAGACAAGCATAAGTACAATATAAAATTGATATATTATTTGAATAAGAACTGAGCACTCGTACAATTTGATACTCTTTTCGATTCAAATAATTACATTTTTATATGAATGGCTTAAAATGGCATTACATTAGTATTGTTCCATTAGTACCACACCAAAATAATTACTTATTTAATATACATGAGCATTTCATTCCTGCCATTACTTAATCTGCATTTATTTATAATTACTTAGGCTTGTTGATATTCTGAAAGTCGCCTGTTCCTAATTGACCAAATTCATTACATCCCCAAACAAATACTTTTTTCAAAGAACTTAAAGCTATTACATGTTTATATCCACATTCAATTTGAATGATTTTTTCATTTAATGTCAATCTTTCAACTTGATCTCTACCTTTATAGTCTCCCATACCCAATTAACCTTTCTCATTTTGCCCATAACAAAATAATCCTCCATTATCACTTAGTAGTATTGTAAATGTACTCCCACATGATAATGAATTAATTTTTACACCAATTTAAATATATTTTAATTAATCATAAACTTTACCTTCTGAAATATACAAGATTCTATTTCTATAGGCTTTGATAAATTCAACATTTTCATGTAATAATTTTGGATGTTAAATAAATTTATGATGAACACACCCCCAAATAAACATCTTTTTATCGTTTTATTATAATAGACAATGATTTTGTCCCACAGAAATAGTTTTTATTTTTCCTGTAAAATTCATTTATGTTGGATTATGTTTCTCTCCATCTTATGTAGAACCTAATTAGCTCATATCATTTAAACCCCAACCATATAATTTATTACAACATGCCCCAATCGTTGTATTTTCTCCTACTTAAATAAATTGCAAAGGATTTTCTTTCTCGAAACTTTAGATAAATAAATCCTTATAGTTGGATGCAAATGAACCATTATAACTGTCAGAAGTATCTGAGATTATCTCCAAATCAATAATAAAAGCAAATAAATATATTTTTGGCTAAATTAATGACTCCAATCCCAAAATTAATGCTGAATCATAATCTGTTTTTTAACCCATTTTCAACCCAAATAAATCAGTCTCTTCCTATAATTTCTACTATTGCAATTACAACTCTAAAGGTGCAATATATTAATCATATTATTATTTTAATTCTCTTTTTCTAGGTAATATCATTCGAAATCTTCTCTATATAATTACAGCAGCCTATCTCATTCTCTAAAATACACAACTTAAATGCTTCATTCTAAAGTACCCTTATATTAAATAGGCTGCTTCATGCATTTTACTTAGTCTCGCTCTCACTATGTATCCTCTAGCCCATCTTTAAATAGTTTTTATTCTTTTTTCCATACGTATTTTTCTTCCAACTTCTTTTATTTATTCTACTTCTTTTTTATGGTTTTTTCTTATAAAATAGCCTCTATAATATTTTTAGATTATTATTGCGGCTTTGTGTCTTATTTATTCCCAAGATTAATCAATAACAACATTCAAAATTCTTCTTATATTTATATATTACGTTATCCTTTTTTAAATTCTACTAATTCTAAAATTCTTCTATATTTTCTTAATTAATTCTAATTTTTGTTGAAATCGATTTTGGATAATTTGACTTAAGATCGCATATTTTATATAATCTATTTGTTTTCTATATAACTTTTATTTTTTTCTAATTTAATACATAAAATAAAATTTCTGTATAAGAGTTGCTGCTTTCATTTTTTTTCTCAATTATATTTTTCTTAATTTTCTTTTTATGTTTTTCGCTACTCTTTTGATCATTCTCATAAATTGTTTAAATTTATCCCTCAATTAATGTCTTCGAAATGCGGATTAAATACATTTAGCCTTCTCATTCTTCTCTTTCATTAATGAAGTGTACATTTTGTCAATCAATGATATTCCCTATTCTTAAATAAAGATTTATGTATTTCCAAATAAATATAAATCTTTAGAAACTTCTCTAAATTGTTCTTAAAACATTTTAAAATCCAAAGCTTTATAATCTTTATTTAACGGATCCTAGAATCCACCTTCTTAAATAAATCTGTATTTTAAATAAAATCTCCAAAAATCTACTCTAATAGGGAATGATTCTTTTCTTACCTTTAATGAATCTAAAACACCTAAATATCTAATTTATTTCATCGCATATTTGTTATCTAATTTATTTGGAACAAGTTCATCATTTGGTTTGATGCAACGAATGAAATGGACACCACATGATTACAATTCTGTCATTAAGCTTTTCATCTCATTCTTAATCTTAATAACAATTGATTTTGGCTTTGGCTATAATTAGACCATCTAATTATTGCATTTTGCTTCTAATAATAATTAAGGAATTTCATCTTGATTTTTTTCAACAAAATTTTAGCATGTATATTCTACATCTTTAGCTGTATGCTTAATAGTGAATTTAGGTTTTGTAGAATTTGGAAACTTGAGTTCTTTTCTTAAAGATTGTAATAATTATTAATCAGTTTAATTTAATCTACAAGCCTAATCAATAAGATTAAATAAACAAACAGGAGGTTTATCAAACATATCTATTAATTAAGTGTTATCTTCAAATTTGATACTATCAACATATTTTTCTAAACCTTCTATCAAAAATATTTTCTTTTCCTCTTTGAAAACATATTCAATATATAATTAATGAAGCCTTTCATTAGAATAATTTATCATCATTTATTCAAATCCATTAAAATTATCGAATACTTCAAAACCATAAATATCCAATAATCCAATATAGGTTGTTTTCTCTTGTTAAGTAATCAAAGTTTCATTAAGTTTTTCAATAATCCAATTAAATAATCTTTCATATATTTCTTTTGCCCAAGAATCTCTAATTCTAATACAATCAAGTAATTTAATAGGTGATAAGATCTTTTCTTTTCCATATATTGCCTACTTTAAGGTTAATGCTTTAACAATATCATTGAAATCATAATCCAATAATTAGCAGATTTATTTCAAAAGATCTTCATTTTTAACATTACAGGGAGTTGTGTTTCCATAATTAACATCATCAAATTATAATTCCCCTATTAATAAAACAGTATAAACAACTTAAAATATGGCATCAGCATCAATATTAACTGTTGTGAATGCTTATATCAGTTCATCATAAAACTTCTAACTGAAATAATTATCTTTGCCCAAATAATTAAAGTTTTACCTTTAATATTTTGGATTGCCAAATAATAAATAAAATATATGGAAATTCCTATCTGTTTCAGAATGTGAGACAACTCTACTCTTTTCTAATAGATAATTTACTATATCTCCACCAATAATTTATTATTTTTTATTAACAAAAAGCCTTGTATATTTTCCAAATCTACTTGAATTCTTATTTCTAATTGTTTTTGCATTACCAAATGCTTCTAAGATTGGATTGCATCCCATAATCTTATCAGATAATTCAGTCTCTTCAGAATTAACACTTGTTAATAGATTAAGACAATATCTTGCATTTTCTGTTTTACCTGCTCCACTCTCACCTGATATTACAATTGCTTAAATTTTCTCAGTTAATTTGGTAAAAGCATGAGCTGCAATAGCATATGTATGAGGTGCAATAGATTTATAGTTACGACGTTTTCTTATAATATAATCTACATATTCTTGGAGATCTACATTCAGACTCTTAAATGGATTAATAACAATCAGAGTTGGACCAACATATGTAAATATTTAATCTTTTTTATATCTCTCACTTAAGTTATATAAAAGTTATGGATCATTAATTATTGCCAGATTGACCATGTCTGCTTAAACATCCTCACATCTTTCCCATACTTGTCCATTCAATTTCTGACCATTTTCTTCACTTATATAGTTGTTTCCATCTGCAATTATACCTTTTATAAAATTATCACTCTCTAAAACCCAAACTTTATTACTAAACATTCTAGAATAATAGTGATGTGTTAATTATTTTAATGAACAAAGTTATCTGTCTTCTTTCACTATTGTTGGCTACTTCTTATGCACTTTATGATTCACGCTCTAAAGTACAACTCCTTACACCTTAAACCTTCAGAGAGAAAGTGTTAAATTCTAAATCTCTTTGGATAGTTGAATTCTTTGCTCCATGGTGTGGTCACTGTAAAGCACTTGCCCCAGAATATGAAAAGGCAGCAAAGGCTCTAGAAGGAATTGTGAATATTGCTGCTGTGGATGCAGATGCTCACAAAGACCTTGGAGGACAGTATGGTATTTAAGGATTCCCCACGATCAAATTTTTTGGAGAAAACAAAAATTCACCTTCTGATTATCAAGGAGAAAGATCAGCCTAAGGGATAATAAACTTTGCATTAGAATAAGTCAAATCGGTATTATTCTTTTTTAATTTTTTAAGACAGTAAATAGTAGATAAAAAGGTTCTTCATCTAATAGAAATTAATAAAAACAATCATCTGGTTCTGGATCAGGATCAGGGTCAGGTTCAGCCGATGATGTTATAGTTCTTACTGATTCAACATTTGATGAAAATGTTCTAAAATCAAAGGATTCTTGGTTTGTTGAATTTTATGCCCCTTGGTGTGGTCACTGTAAGAAACTAGAACCAGAATGGAATAAAGTAGGATCAGAACTTAAGGGAAAAGTAAAAGTGGCTAAGATAGATGCAACTGCAAATACATAATTAGCAACTCGTTTTGGTGTTTCAGGATATCCAACATTGAAATTCTTCCCTGCTGGTTTTTC